CACCATCCGAGCTCGTTGGGTCCGGGCCGCCTGTTGGGGCAGATGTTGTCATGTCCCCTGTGGAGGACGCCCCTTCGGACGCCCCTTCGGAAAGCTGTACGCACGAACCGTTTTCCGCCGCGCCGGCCAAAGGACCAGTCTTGGCGTCGGTAAGGGAGACGCGGGCCGCGGAGGCAACGATTGGTCTCCTTTCCTCCTTCTTCCGCATGGCGTCCGGCGACTTACTGGCAGCCCAGACCACAGGAGGTGCGGTGAAAGGCCGTAGGGCGCCGGAAGGGCCGTCCCTGTAGCCTCTGCTTGCGACGTCAATCACGATACCTGTGCGCGCGAGAAAGTCGCGACCGAGAATCACAGGCATGGAAAGACCAGGGAGATGCACAAAGCGCTGTCGGCGTGCGCGATTCTCCCAACGCACAACCAACCGCGCAGCGCCGCACGAGGTGGCGGTACCGCTGGCGAGGTGGAAGGTAGTGTCGCAAGCTCGAATGCGGACAGAGCGGTCGCGCAAATGAGCCCTAACCTCTTCGCCGAACAGCGGGATCGAAGCCCCGCTATCCAGCAACGCCGCAAACTCTCGACCGGCGATCGTAAGGGCGATTAACGGCGCCGGCGGGGCTGGAATGTCATGTCTAGCGCGACACGCCATCGGTGCCAGAGGTTGTGTCACACTCCCGTGCTCTTTTACTGCTGCAGCCACCGGCAAGCGGGAGCTCACCGACGGCTCACCCCGTTTCCTGACGGGTGAGCAGGCCCTTGTGTCGGTTGGGGCGCGTTGCACTTACGCACAGTTTGACCACGCTCACGGCAACGAAAGCAGACCACGCCTTTTCCTCCAACAGGAGGTGGGGGGGATTTTGGCAATCCTTTTGAGCTACGAGGTGTCCGTTCGCTAGCCGCAGTGGGGGCTCCGCGATCGCATATCCCCTCGTGCACTGGAGCACGGGGTTTCCGTTCTTGTTCACGCTGCCGGGCAATGGTGGCCGCCCGGGCGTACGAGTACGGGTCCAGAGCGCGGTCCGACACATCGAGCGCGTCTCGGTCTCTCGCGGCAGAGGCCGCCTCATGGTTCGGGGAACCCCAGTGCGACGCGTCACGACCAGCCCACGCGCAATGAGGCTCGAGAGACGTGGACGACGGTGGCGGCGGGCGATAGGCTCGCGCCACCAGTATGTCGCCCTGAATACGCTTCGCATCGTATGCCAGCTCGTTTAGGACACGATAACGGGGCGCTCCGAAGGTAAGCGGTGAAGGTTGGATGAGCCTGACGTATGTCTCGCTCCACCTTCTCGGTATCTGATGTCGTAGGATCGGCAAGGATGTAGAGCTCCTGCAAAGCCCGAACAAACACGAGAAGAGATTCGTCGGGATGCTGTGTGCGAAGCTCTAACTAGCGACGCATGCGGCGCTCGTATTCAGAGGAACGAATCTGCTACGGAAGAGCGCCCTAAACTCCTCCATCGAGCGAGCTTGGTGGCCGACGAGCTGGTACCACCTCGCCGCTTGGACTGGCAGCGACACGGGCAAAACAGAGCCTAGCATAACGCTGTCACTCAGCCTCGTAGCCTGCTGATAGTGGTGCAGCGCCTCGAGGTACTTTGGGGCACTAATGCGGTCCGAATAACCGCTAAACTCAGGCAGAGGTACCCTTAAGCTACTCGGAACGCTTGGCTGAGGGGACTCGGGGTCTCCCTTTAAAGCACAAGGCTGCGAGCGCACCGCTTCCAACAGAACGTTTAGGAGCTGCGCCACAGTTGCGTGCAGCGGTGATTGCTCCGAGGTGGGCGCGGCCGTAACAGGTGCGCGCGCCTGTTTCCCAACATGCGCGTCCGACCGAAAAGGGCCACTACACGACATGCAGGAGGGTAGGGTTTGCGCTCCGACTAGTGCTTGAGGCCTCACGCGACTGGCAAACGCGTGGACAGCGGAGCACGGTGGCTTAGGACCGTCGAAAGCATCACCCACGTGAGTTTCAGGCCAGCGAGCGTCGGTGAACGCGGCGACGTTGTCGGTTAAGCGAGCAGGCTCGCCAACGACATCTTCGACCCTTTGCGCTCGCGACCACGACGGGTCAGTAAGCGCGTTCCCGCCAACACCTGAGTGCTCCCGGTAGGAAGGACTGGGTGCGGCTATTTGAGCTGTCAACCGTGCTGCTGACGGGGACAGGCCGGCGAGCAGAGACTGCGCCGGGGACGGGCCCGTAAGCGCGTGCATCTCGAACAGCTGATACAGTCCGTTACTGGCTTGGCTAGGACTGTGGTCCTCGTTCAAGCGACTCGCATCCCCGTAGCGGGCCCTGAAAAAGGGATCTCTCCCGGTGAACAAAAGCAGAGGGTCGCCGAGAGGGCCGTACCCCGTGCTGTTGCAGCCGTCCGCCTCGAACGAGATCAAGTCCATCGCCAAAGGATCGAACAAGAACGAGCGCCTCGAAGAGGTCTGCTCTGAAGCCCTGCCGAAACAAAGTTGGGTGCCAGTTATGTGGAGATAGGTTTGCACTAGGCTTACCTACTAAGCGCAACCGTGTAGGGATGCGACGTCCTCCACTGCCACTGCGGCCGGATTCGTCGATTTCTCCGGCACGGCGCAGAAACCACGCACGAGGCAGGATAACAACAACGGGTTTATTAACCCAAGATGCAGCACAGTGCGACACTAGCGGGCTTGCAGGCCGTATAGGGAACTCCGCAAGAGCGAGCAAGTACGCTTGCCTGAGGCGCGACGACTCCCACACAAGGGCCGAAGTCGAACGCACGAACGAGAAGCCGCCTGCTTAGCAGCGCGTCTACCCCTCATGAAGGCCTGAGAGCATCTGCTGCGACAAGTGAATCTTCGGGCGCAACATAGCTCGTAGGAGAGGAGGATGTCACGCGCGGTCCAAAGGGAAATGGCACTGCGTCACAGAACACCTACCAGTTGGCTGCGTGGTGACGTAGGCCCGCGCAGCGCGCCAACGTAGCGTGCCCGGACATACCAGCGCGGGGAGGAGCCAACAGTTGACTCGCCCAGACCAAGACAGCGCCCTGGCAGCCATCTTGGTGGATGCCGATGCTTATGCGCGCCCGGGCTACGCTGTCGGCGCGCGCGCGGCAGCTGGAGAACGAGGCGCCAGGTAGGAGGGCGCTGTCGATTCCCACAAACTAAATTTCGATCGTACCTCTACGGTAGACCATTCCGAGCAGTCAGCGACCACCATTGCCTGTGTTGGCTGGCGAATCTTGAGGATCCCTCTGGCTGACTAGCAAGATGGAGCCTTAGGCTACAAGAGTACGATATTACTGTGGTATACAAATCTGGGAAAAAGCACAGCGATTCGGACTGCCTGTCACGCGCACCAGTGGAGACGAATGAGCCGGAGGAAGAAGACTTACCGTTTCTAGGCGTCGTCCAGGCATCAGAAATCGCTCAACCACAAAATGACCCTGATTTGCTGCCGCTTATACAGCGTTTCGAAGGACTCAACTGTTAAAGTTCCGCGCACTTTATCCTTCGTTCTGTCTTCGAGAAGGGGTCCTTTACAAGGGGAACTTCGAGCCCCATGGTGACAACAGTTTTACTCATTGTACCTGCATCCTTTACGAAACGAGATTCTGCCAACATCTGGACATATAAGTGTCAGTCAGCCGTACATTCGCCAGAATTCCTCTAAAATACTACTGGCCAAAACTGTTAGCATCAGTTCAGCACTATGTGAAAACTTGCCGTGAGTCTCAAAGACGCAAAACTTCTATCCGTGAAACCTGCAGGCCTCCTCCAGCCAATAGAACCACCGGATGCCCCTTTCCAACAAATAGGTATGGATCTCCTAGGCCCGTTTCCGACATCGACTGCTCGCAAGAAGTGGATAGTCGTAGCCACGGACTATCTCACTCGTTACGCTGAGACAGGCTCGCTGTACAGTGCAACATATCTTTAAGTTGTCAAGTTCTTCATCAACAACATAGTCCCCAGACATGGGCACCCCGCATTCGTAATTACAGATCGTGGCACAGTTTTTACTGCAAACCTAATGAAATGTCAGATGCGAATGACCCATACAGACCAGAGAAGTAACTACGGCATACCATCCTCAAACAAACGGCCTAACGGAGCGCCTCATTAGAACTCTGACTGATATGCTTTCAATGTATGTCGACGTCGAATATAAACTGTGGGATGAAATGCTGCCCTACATCACGTTCGCATGTAATACATATAATACAGCCGTTCAAGAAACAACGCGAGTGACACCATTTGAACTTGTATTCGGCTGAACAGTCACCACTCCACTGGATGCCATGTTACCACTGGATGGTGAAAGCAGTAATTCACCCGACCTAGGACGACTTCTTGCAAAGAGCCGAGGAAGCAAGATAGATGGCGAGATACAGGATACTCCACCGCGGGATCGAATCCCGGCTGCGGCGACTGCATTTCCGATGGAGGCGGAAATGGTGTATGCCCGTGTGCTTAGATTGGGTGCACGTTAGAGAACCCCAGGTGGTCGAAATTTCCGGAACCCTCCACTACGGCGTCTCTCATAATCATATGGTGGTTTTGGGACGTTAAACCCCACACATCAAAAAAAAAAATCAGAATACGCCGCCAACAGCGTATCGACTCCTACAGGTAGAATCAGCGTCGTAACGAAGCGCATTATCAACTAGGTGACAAAGTATGGATATGGACCACAGTGCGTCACCGTGGACTTTCTGAAAAACTTCTTAGCCCATACTTCGGGACTTACGAAGTACTCCACCGTGTAAGCGATGTAACGTACCAAGTCAAATGCGCTATACACGGGAGCTCAAAACGCCGCAACCCTGCAGAGGTTGTTTGTACATGTAGTCCGGATGAAGCCTTACTATGAAATATCATCGGAAAACCAGTGACGCCTACCACGAATTTATTCATTGCCTGACGCATCGGGATGATGCGTATAAGGAGGGGGATTATGCTGCGACATCTGGCCTGCATTCAAACAACGCGCCCGTCAACGCGTGCACAGGGACATACATGCGCGCCGTCTAGTGTTGCGCAGAGACGACGATGATGGCCCGAGCACCCAGCTGGACCCGGCTGATGTGCGCCACGCGCTCGGGACTGCTCTTGAAGACGAAGAAGAAGGTGAATATCTTTGGTGTTCGGCTGTCGCATTCTACGCTGATAGTCTCTGAGTTGTGGGCACAGGTGCGCCCTTCAATAAATACGTTTTATTACACCCCCGAGTCCTTCAACATCGTAACAATATGAATACGAAATCCTGTGAGCTGATTCAATGTGGTTTTCATTACACTTTTATGTCTCTTTTTTGAAATGTTTCAATGACGTGTTATATGTTTACAAAACTTAAACGCTTCCTCAAATAAAACGCGCTCTCTGGGAGGACACGTCTGTGTCAACAGTGCAATGTGTTCTCTGATGTACTGGTTTATTAACCTGATTGCTATACCTTTATTTGATCCGGGATTTATCATAACCGTGGTCACCATAGCATGCAACGGTCCTTTTTTGGCGGTACATTTTGGACTTCTCAGAACATTTAAATACCCTGGAAAACGCTTCCATGTTTCCCATTGGAATATTGATCCTGAAAGAAAATAAAAAAAGTTGCAGATGTAGCTGACTGAAACGACAAAATATTGTTAGAGTCTTAGTGGACATCTTATTCATGTTATCTCCGCTCTTAAAGCGCTGCGGTGTTCAAGTCATTATGGTGTTTGGATGCCGACCTGTAGGTCGTGGTAATGAGTCCCAGCCGCGGCAGTTCCGTTTCCATGGAAACAGCAAAAAGCCCGTTCATATAAATTTAGGTGCATGTTAAAGAGCCCCAAGTCGTCAAAAGTTCTGGAGCCCATTACTACAATGCCTCCCATGATCATATTGGAGTCATATAGACAGAACTTCAAGGGCAGGAAAAGAAAAGCGGAAAAAAGAAGTTATTGCGATCTCCGTATGTGAATCTCACAAGATAAATGTTGTGATGTATTTTACTTCCCAGTTTATTACTTTGTCTAAAGTCCCTGAGGAGCAGAAAACCAAAATCTGACGTTGCTGAGAGAAAGATACAGGCACAAAATTTTTTCCGGTATCTAGCAGTGCATGACAAGTTCGGCGTATTCTGCTTTAGAGTAAGTTCCTTTTTTCACTCACTGTCATCTGTGGTGCACACCTGGGCACACTAGGCTGTGGTATGCCGGTAAGTGCCTCATGTGACTGAACATACTTTATTATGTACACGACACAGAAGTCGCAATTCTATGTCATTACTTGTGAATTGGTTTCGTCATACATTCACAAACTCTTAGCAAATTTTATGCGCCAGTCCGAGGAGACGGTAATGAGATAGATATCAATCGAATGAATCGATAGATAGATAGATAGATAGATAGATAGATAGATAGATAGATAGATAGATAGATAGATAGATAGATAGATAGATAGATAGATAGATAGATAGATAGATAGATAGATAGATAGATAGATAGATAGATAGATAGATAGATAGATAGATAGATAGATAGATAGATAGATAGATAGATAGATAGACAGACAGACAGACAGACAGACAGACAGACAGACAGACAGACAGACAGACAGACAGACAGACAGACAGATAGATAGATAGATAGATAGATAGATAGATAGATAGATAGATAGATAGATAGATAGATAGATAGATAGATAGATAGATAGATAGATAGATAGATAGATAGATAGATAGATAGAAAAGGTGCGCTAAATACTTGCATTATGACGAGTTACCAAGTAGCTTAGCAACGAGTGTCGCTGCCCAACATTGCGTGGAAGAAGCATCACATCATATGAATTACGCAATGAGTGGGTGATTTAAAACTTTCCACCTATTACAAGAGACTGAGTCGTAACTCATCATAATCAGCCAAAGCACCAACACAGTCTGCACCTACGTAGTACGCATATTGCCTTATGGGCAATAGGTCTAGCTGGATATGTGCAATATAGTCAATATGTGTTTTGAGTACGTAGCAACTTTATGTAATAGGCATGGATCATAACGTAGTGAGTAGTCTCAAGTTTTTCTGCACTGGACGTAGAGAGAATTTACAGCGGGCTCTGAGGATACTCCCCCAACTTACGTTAAGACTGTTATATACCTGCTCCACAGGTCTGTTTCTTTCTACATAACTGGTCACTAGATATAGCTGCATGAGTACGTATCATCTGACGCAAAAAGCTGAGAATTTACGAATGTTATAATTGAGTAAGCCTTAAAGTTGTTCAGCTGCTGTGTGGGTTCAGTGGATAAATGTACGTTTGACACAGTCACAGATACATCACCTATCCACACCCGTTTGTAGCATAAGTTCTCGTAACGACATTTGCATCCAATTTCGAATTTGTTGGTGTAAGTTATAAGCTTTCTTGTTCCATGGCCAAATATATGAACGCCATAACAAATAGGTTTTCAGGAGCATCGGAATAACTTCGGCTAATTAAGCCAGCGATTTCTTCCCCTAATCACAGTCCAGCCTTTCTTTCAAGTTGGTATGCGCAAAATTATTTACGCTGATGTCAGTGGCGTAGCTAGAAAGTTTAGCCCTATGCCCCCTCCCCCTTGATGCTTTCCCCCGTGGCATTCAATAGACAACATGACGGGCAACCACATCTGCTTGCCCAGACCCCACTTCAGACCAAAATGGGCCTCCTTTCCGAGAAAAAAAGTTCTTGTTATGTCCATAACGAATGGACTTCATTCTTGCGATATTTTATTCCAAAAGGGGTATTCAGCACTGCACATGCCACGAGACATAGACGATTCTGCGGCATCATTTCCGGTGCTTACAGCCATGAGTTACCAAGTTTACTTTTCGTTGAGTAAAATTCTTACGTACGCACTTGCGTCTACACAGTGTCAACAACTTTTTCTTGTGCTATGTCATCGTGATAGTACTGAATATGATGGATCGAAATCTGAATACGAACAATGGTATTGTAATTAAACACTGCATGTTTGCCAACAATACTTTTTTGTTATATTTCTTGGTATGAAAATCACTTGCCATATTTTCTTTTCAAAGAATGCGTTATAATGATTCCTAAATATTGTTTTTTACACACCATTAGTCAGACAGAATGACTGTTGTGTAATAATTGAACCCAGTTAAAACAGGAGTATTTAGGAGCAGTCCAGAAGAAACGAACCTGTATTGGTTTGGTGAGTGTGGGTCGTACTGTATAAGCTCTCGTAGATATCCTTCGCGAGCCTTGTTGCACCACACCTGTGGTTGAGGTCAAAATAGCACATACAATAGAGCATTGAGTGTTTTCCAGACCATGCTGTTTTTTTTTAATCAACCCCTAAATTTCTAGATCTTGTATAATCAAGCAGATTATTCGAAAAAACGCGGAAGAAAAAATAGCATATGTTATCACAAAAAAAGCACGAGGACCAATAATAAATGTACTTTTACAACACGACCGTCAGTTCTACTTTGACCAATCCACTGAAAAAGATGTCTACGAAAAAAAGATGAAAGTTCTTCTGCGTGACACACCAAATATCGGCAGGTGTCTCAGTCGTTATACTTGCTATCGTTACTCAACTTCCTTGGCAAAATTTTTGTCATTTAAGAATGTGGAAAATCTTTTTTTGTTCACAGCATATGCTTTCTATTTTCTAAAGTTTCTGTAATTTGTGACCAAACCACTATTTCGCAATTGAGCTGACTGCCCACTTCCATGCATTGATATTTTTTCAAAGATGAAGTCAAGTATATTTCAAAATATTTATAATTCATGCAACAATTTTGACGGCTTTATTCCCGCACCATACATGGTTGGATTGTGAAAGTTGGCCGAGTAAGTTTCTAAGCGTCGTGTTTTATTCGCTGCACCACTTTACGTTCGAAGCTCAAATTTTTTTAATAATGGAATCACAAAGATAATTATGTCACAGTGTTATATTCAGGTACTTTCTTAAAAGAAAAATATATGGAATTTGAACGCTGAATAATACTGCATAACTAATAATAATACTGCTAATACTGCGTAAAAAACCATGATGTCTATTGAGTTATTTGTAACGACCACGTTTATTATTGTCATTTCCTCTTAAAAAGTTTAGTAAACTGTTAGCGTACCATTGCATTCGATATGAAGAACAACTGCTTTCCAGACACGTTTTCCAAGCCCTCTAGACGTGTGTCCTCATGATGCTGTTCTTTGAGCAGATTGTCGTAAGCCTGAAAGGTGGGGAGTGGCAAATTTCAATTTCGAGAGGCAACTAAACTCCTCATCTCTCACATCACCAAGTCCTCCCAACACAATACGTGGAATGGCATACTATGCTCAATATTCGAAGGGGCCATGCAACACTTTTTAACGTGGCTATAGAATGAATTTACTAAAGCAGTTAATTGCCTCACTAATTCATCACCACAAAACGTTTTTATATCCGTCCAGTACGAGCGGAGTTGGGAATGTTTTTCGCGCGCTGCAATTGCATTCTCTCGTCCGGGCGAAAGTACTCGAAGCTAAGCAGCGAGAGATGGAACAGGGAAAGCATATACGTCACGCACGCCTCGTGACCTTGAGAACTTTTTCGCAATTTTGTTTCTTCGAATACGCGGCTTTTCAGTGCGATCACGCGTGCACTCGTGGGCAATTCGCAGCGTCCTGCGGTGATCCCTCTATAACGACCAAGGGCGCCGTGTTCAAATCAACCAATGGCTGATTCAACGGCTCTGACGAGCGGCTCTTACGCATCTTCCGGAATTAGTGGACAGAAGAGAAAGCAATTTTCGTACACTTTGATAATTTATTGTTAATTCCGGGCCACCTGGTGCTCTACAATATTTGGTTCACTTGTTCTTCGTAGCCTCGACTAGCGATGGGCAGCGCATTCCGACCATGCGCACGAAGTGTTGCAGGATCCCTTTAAGATAACTAGCTTAGCAGACACGTCCACTTTTGCATTGTTGAAGGCGCTACTAGCCTATCAAATGCTGAATGTTTTCGAAAGTTTGTGTGTAGGCAGTTGAGCATTAAAAAGTAAAAATATGGTTCAAATTCAATGCACCCTTACACTTTATTCATCTGGTTATCGCAAGAGCTAGTTAGTCAGCTTGGTTGACACAGAACAAAAAAAGGGTATTAGTACAGACTGACCTTGAAAGCAGTCCTGATGCCCCCGTTGTCGGCTATATTTTCTCCTACTGTATTGTTCCCGTTTAGCTACAGTGCATGAAATGAAAATGATATATTACTGTAAGCAATCTACCAAGCATTACTTACATGAATAATGCTCACACTATATATAATGCGTCGGGCACAGCAGGCTGTAAGCTTAGAGAATTGACTCTCGGAGTGCACACAGGAAGAAAGAACCGCCCAATCACTGCTCATACATCCTGTGGCGTACCAGTTGTTTTGCGAGTGTGTGTGTGTATGTGAGGGAGGGGGGCAACCTATCTCACTCGTCTGCCGTAATATATATATATATATATATATATATATATATATATATATATAGCTAAAAAAATCAAGCACGTAGGAAAAATTGTTTTGTAAAGGACTGACGTTTCGGCCGCGGGACCGGCCTTCGTCGGTTCGTCGGAGTGATGTATATATTCTCGTCGGAGTGACGGTATATTCTGACCGACGTTTCGGCTGGTCCACCAGCCGAAACGTCGGTCAGAATATACTCTGCAAAACCAACGTGCGTCGTACTCTATTTTCCCTTATTCTACCGGGGCCAGCATTAATTCCTTGCTGCAACTATATATATATATATATATATATGGCCTGACACATGTCGAGAACTGGCCAGCACAGGATGAGAACCGGATGTCGATTTACACCGACATTTGGATGTGCACAGTCTTGTTTTGGGCTCAGCGTTCACAGCGTTTTGTTTTTTGTTTGTTTGTTTGTTTGTTTGTTTGTTTCTCTATTTCTCTCTCACTCTCACAAACATCTTTCAAGGCGAGAGGGAGGCGGCAGCAACGAAGTTTGAATGTCTGTGTTAGTATAACTCATCCCCTGATGAAGGGAGGACCCCTCCCGAAAACTGTTAGGAAATAAATATATTTACCCTTGTTGGTAACGCTCGCATTGTGTCATATCCCATACCTTCTTGAAGACGCCCCGCCGCGGTAGTCTAATGGCTAAGGTACTCGGCTGCTGACCCGCAGGTCGCGGGATCAAATCCCGGCTTCGGCGGCTGCATTTTCGATGAAGGCGGAAATGCTGTAGGCCCGTGTGCTCAGGTTTGGGTGCACGTTGAAGAACCCAAGGTAGTCGAAATTTCCGGAGCCCTCCACTACGGCGTCTCTCACAATCATATGGTGGTTATGGGACGTTAAACCCCACATATCAATCGATTACCTTCACGAAGACTGACTGGTCCAATGAATTATTACTCTCAGTATATATATATATATCTATTGAATGAACATTGCAGATAGCACATTTGAAAAGGAAATTGTATTACTAACGTTTCGGCGTTAGTAAATACAATTTCCTTTTAAAATGTGCTGTCTGCAAGTTCATTCAATATAGAAAATACCCAGACCTGTCGTGCGTTCCCTTCAATTTCTATATATATATATATAATATATATATATATATATTATATATATATATATATATATATATATATATATATATATATATATATATATATATATGTATATATATATAGAACGGCAAGCTTATAATCCATCCCCCTCAAAGGTGATTACCAGCTCTCGCGAAATCGCCTTGATGGGGTAGGGGGTAGCAATCTTGCCGCTGGTTTCATATCAGAAACAAATGGTTGTTTTGCTCGCCGCGAGATGACGCGAAAATAGAGTGTGTTTGCTCTCGCTCCCGCTTGAACACGCTGCCAGCAGCCGCCGGAGTGCGCAGGCCATGCGCTCCTGTGTTCCCTTTCATAAAAATTGACACTGTACATGTGCCCATTGACAAAAAAATCCTTTACCTGCTTTAATGCGGCTACATTCCATCTAACGCCATTATGCCACGTTTGCTATAAATAACCAACTTCTTGGCGTTAATGTCCTTCCAAGCTATATGGAACTAACATGGCAATAAAAGCTGCAACGCAATTTTTGAAAGAACTTCCTGTTTTCCCAAATAAACTACTCACTCGCAATACCTGTTACGAAAAACAGCTTGTAACTTCTTTTTGCGAGAACCTGTGCCACAGCTTTGTCAACAGCCGTCTAAAACAGCTTCTAAAATATGTTAAAAACTAGTTTCTAGCATTTTTTCTTGTTAAACTTGGAGTGATAACTATAGACAGTAATATGGTTTTGTTTGAGGCTGTAGACATACGTGGCTACCTGGCCACGCCTTTCATGGCATCGAAAGCAATCCTAAGCTATTCAACCTTACCGTAAGGTTCAGACTCGCGACACTGATGCTCCCATACTGACGCTTGAAGCACAGTGCCTTTTGGTCAAACTTGGTTCGAGTTTCATTCGTCCACCACTGTTCCAACCTCCCGTTTGCGTCAAACTGGCTTCCTTCAAAGAAAATAAAATCAGGCAAGAAGAAAACATTGGAATTCGCATCATTCGTATGAACCGTGAAGGAAAAATTAAGTTAAAATTTCAGGAGTCCTTTGCCTTATTCAGACAAAATAACAGTAAAAACTTTTATTTCTCATGAAAGAACATTTATATTTAGTGTGACAAAAAACACGCAGCGGTAAAATATTGTAGTTAAAGCCACTGTCAAAAACAGAAAACAACTATTTACTTTCTACTTCAAAAACACACATATCTTCACACCTTATCCAGGCATTAACACTGCAGTTATAAGTCTTAATTGGTAAAGGTGTTTTATGAGGTGAGGAGGATAATGTGCGAGAAGGTTCTCTTGTAAAGAGCATTATGTGCAGAAAAGCAGCCAGCTATCAAACCCAGCGCAATGTTTGACACACAAACTACTGAACCATCTTACAAGCGAAGCCACGCAGAGGGTGCGATACAAGCGATGTGCTTCATGTTCTCCGTTTTATGGTGCATTCAGTGTTTTCAGTTCTTCCTTTGCTCGAGCTTGGTCGATACTCGAAATTTTACATGATCTAACTCAAAATAATGGAAAGTCGATGGAGACTCCTTGCTATTATAATCCAGGGACACCAGACTTCGGACAGGTACCCTCTTTTTTTTTTTTTGAGCGTAATATAAAGAGACACCCCCCCCCCCCCCTGGACAAAGTAATACAACCCGACTGTTTATTGTTGTAATGAACAATGGTAAAACAGCGAACAACTTGTCTCACTGTCCCATACGGAAGTCATATTTCACGCAATGCGATTCGCATCGTTAGATTCATCAACGCCATCACTATCATCACAATCAGAGGTAGCGAATTTTATTGTTAACAGCAGGGAAAGGCCTTTCGCAATCATTTTCGCATAACTTTTTGTTTTGCAAATCTAGTTCATGATTCGCCCAAAATGTTTCTTATTTGATCATCTCTTCTGATGACGATCATCTCTTCTGATTAGATGAGAAGTACCACCATACCCGGTAGTGCTTCTCATCTAATAGCATCTACAACTCATCCCCAATTTTTTCTTGGGTATTACGCCGTGCGGCATTACACTATTGCGAATATGTCTTTTTTTTTGTGTATTTACCTACTAAAGCATTGGCTCATTATGATCGCTCGCCAGCTTTTTGTTTTTTTTTCTTAAGTTTTTTTTTTAATGACACACCCACAAGCCCCGCCGCGGTGATCTAGTGGCTAAGGTACTCGGCTGCTGACCCGCAGGGCGCGGGTTCGAATCCCGGCTGCGGCGGCTGCATTTCCGATGGAGGCGGAAATGTTGTAGGCCCGTGTGCTCAGATTTGGGTGCACGTTAAAGAACCCCAGGTGGTCTAAATTTCCGGAGCCCTCCACTACGGCGTCTCTCATAATCATAGAGTGGTTTTGGGACGTTAAACCCCACATATCAATCAATCAATCACCCACAATCTTCTGTTTCATACCGTCGCCGCGTATTCCTCAAATTCGGAAGCCACTTTGCCCTTAAACAGTGGGTTGCATGCAAGTAAAAGAAACCTTCATGTTTGTTTGCCTGAAAAAAAGAAAAGAAAAAAGGCAGCATATCCATGGAGTGAATGATGGATAGCGGGGCGAAGCATCCGTCCGTCCATTCGTTCTTGCTTCCGTCCATCCATGCTGCGTCTGTGTGGCCGCCCATGCGTCCATCCGCCCGTCCGTGCGTGCGTCTGTTCGTGCGTCTGCACGTTCATCTGTGCGTCTGTCCCTGCTTTTGACCATGCATCCGCTCCTGCATCCGTCCAAGCGTCCATCCGTCCGTGCAGCCATCCGTGCGTCCGTCCATGCATCTGTCTGTGGTGTCCGTTCGTCCACCTATTCAGCACTCCAAGTACCACCATCTCGCATCTTTTCATCATATATTCCGCATATAGAAGCACCGCCATCCAGCGGACATTCCAAGGAATGAACGAGAGGAGGCACACGCACACTTTCTTACGGCTTGCGCTTTGTGTCTACTTCCCACCTTTAACCACCTCGAGTTCATGGTATATACTAGTTCACTGTATTTATGACACTGCGGCCCAACGCTCGCTAAACCTTTCTAAAACCTGGGAGGTTACGCCCACCGAGCATAGCACAGCAACCCTTTTTTTCTCTTCTGTGTGTTGTTGAACAATAAAAAAAAAGATTCGCAGCGTGCGCGTTAACTAAAAGCCGAATTCTCCTGTCTCTCATACCCCCTTAACAGCTGTTGGCATGGACATTGAGTACTATCTTTTATTGTTCAACAAGCACAGAAGAAATCTCTCACCGGCACCTTTTTGGAGGTCAAAATGTTATACTTCTTACACACTACTACAATGGCTACGAGGGACAAACGGGTGCCGCTATAAGAAGCTTCGCCTCTAAAAAGAAACTTCCAGCACTGAAGTTTTATATTCAGAGCACCCACCTGTGTCATCGAAGCCGTGGGTCATTTCGTGCCCAACCACTGTGCCGATGGCCCCGAAGTTGATGGATCTGTGCAAGAATTCACATGAAATGTTATTGCCAGCATATCTTGCGTACGTTATCATCATAGTCGAGTATTTGATAACCGCCACTTACATTACGCACAAAGTTTGTTCGCTTAATAACGTAGCTCCTTCCTTTTCTGTTTTAGGTGTGTTTTAAGTAATATTTGCGTTCTGCTTTATATGCCTTAAAGAGATTGTAATTTGGCAACCCGATTTTTTCCCTAACGCTGGTCAGCAGCTTTGGAAACAAAATGTCTGTGTCGTGCAGGCCTCGAAAAAATCTGGCCATACAGATATGTGGAAAAACAAAGAAGGAGGGGGGGGGGGGGGGCAACACGTTCAAACTACATTAAGTGATTGACTTGTTTCACGAAGCTATTTTCTTGTGTGCTTTGAAGAATTAGCTGCTTGCACAAAGCAGTACAAGCTACGAGCCATCATGCCTTTCTCATCCGATAAGAACTATATCTTCCTACGGCTAATGCGGATGCAATCTCAGGATTTCTTTATATTTGTACATTGTGGCCTGATCGACGTCAGTTGCAAAAACATCGCACTTCCGCTGTAGGAGCAGGGCCAACTTAACATTAGTCATAACATTAGCTTTATAGTTAACATTAGCGCAAAGCAAACTTAAGATAAGTATTCGGTTAAGTTTTGTCAGTGTTTATTCTGCGTTGTTTTAATAAACTGAATACCCACCAACTGGCTCGCCTTCAATCGCTACTAAGTTGTAAGGGCCCCATTTGCATTCGAATGCGAAAGCTTCTTTTTGTGTTTTTTTCTTCTCAATTCTAGCGGTCATCCTTCTCCATCTCCAAAAATATTCCGCACTTAAAGAACCACTATAGGGCAAAATGATTATTCGTCTATTATTAAAGTACAACGACACAATTCCGAAAACACCACTTTTACAGCGACACCGATGTTTGGTAATTGAGAAACGCGCGAAAAGGAAGTGCAAGTGGAGAAGTCACCGTGAAATTCCCGCACCAAAAACCATGAAGTAGAAAATTTTGAAGGCCTCTACTTGGTTCGGCATAGCTTTTACTTTATAGAAATGATGTACAATTTCATCTGTGGGTTTCTCAGACCTAGGATACGAAGTTTCTTTAAACTTAGGGAGCCATCATCATGGAAACAGGAAAAATATGTTTTGTAATTCGTTACATCACGTGTGGAGATTTCAGCATGAAATTCAAGACTAAAGCTTCAACCTTGATTTTCTCTGCTGATAATGATGTTCCGACGGTAAAGCTTGTCGCATTATGTTTGTCAGAGTGAGGTTGATTGATGTAGAGCAAGCCATTGTTTCTCTTTAGTAATTTATTAAGGTGGTTCCACATGCTCTTCAACGGTTAGGTGACCTTCGACTAAACGAGGGTGTCATGAAATAACGTCATCACGTGATGTCACAAACTCTGGCAATCTGTAACGTCTCATGAAGCTTAGAAGTGTGGTGGTTTGGGCTAGTTGGTATCACCTGACGATAGTTATAGCGCGAGAAAAGAACGACGACAAAGGTCATCTCCTTCTTGTCCCATTGTCGTCGTTCCGTTCTCACGCTATAACTATCGTCGTCTCATGAAGGTCGTATGGTGACGCAATCACCCTAAGATTATTTCTCCATCACTCATTCTGGTGACAGTGCCAACACTACCGACGGCCTATTTTCGTGTTTTATGAAGGATGTGAGGTTTTTGTGGTAAAGATTGCGTGGTTGGGGACTGTATTCTGTTTGATGCTATTTACACAAGACCCCGAAACGTCCATGCTACTTCTCAACTCATGTTTTCCGTCACTTTCGCAGTCATACCGAGGAAGCTCAGGTACTGACACTGCTGCCTGTTTCCTGTTTCCAGTTCCTAAAAGTTAAGGGTGGTAGCGTAACTTCTGGTCACTTTCACATTCGGAAGAGCCAGATGAACTGAGAAAAAACGTCACAATTGACGTAATTGGTAGAACAGCATGTCGGCTCTGGTCCTGGCAGTAGTGGCGTTGGTGAAAGCATCACAGAGAGCATCACGAAGTGGCACAGCACGTATACACTACACTTCCCATGGTGACGCGGGCCAACACCTGACACTGGCGAAACAGCGCCGCTTATGCAGCATCAAACAGAACCTTGTCTTTCATTTAAGTTACGGTGGAGTTGCGACGGCACACGTGACGTTCCTGCTTAGGTAACAGGTTCTGCCACATGTGAACGGGACCGCGAATTTCCTAACCATGCACTGTAGGCCGCGCAAACACGTGACGCTGCTCTGCAAATATATTCGCAGGAAATTAAGTAAAAGCGCCTTGAATGAGTCCTATACGAATGGAGTTCTGGAAAGCATAATAAACATATTACCCAATACTCATGTTGGTTTCCAGTTACATTTCTCGCAGCGCCACCTTCCTTAATTTCGCAAACTAAGCAAAAAGCATCAGGCTGTTTCGTCTTTTAAATTTATCAAAGCAATTTTTATTATTACCAAAGAAGCAATCACAGGTTATAATTATTGGTGTTAGCATTCTTCAAGAATAAAATTACAGAACACAAGAACTCTCTTTTTTCATCTTTATGGAGAAAATGCTTATATAAAAGATAAGTTTCTTCAATTTAACTATACTTAGCTCTTATGGCTACACTTTTTAAATCACAGTTGTTTCTCCTCAGATCAATTACTTCTTCGTTCTCCTAATCTCTCAGATATTTTTGGATACGTTACTGAATTTTCTCTTAAGGGCGATCAGTGCGAGGTAATAACTGGCAATAATGTGTTCCCAAAAAGTATAAAAAAGAGGTATGACTTTTCTCAAGCATACAGGTTATCATTTCATATCTCACCGTGGAAGTCCGTGCTGGTAGAATACTCCTTGGAGAATACCTGTTGGGTACACTAGAAAAGAAGGGCAGGTAATGTTTACGCACCACACTCTAACTCATCTGACCACCAGGTGAGATAACGTCCGTGGTCTGTGCTTCGCAACACGTACATAACGCGAGGCTTTATGTTTTAGTGTGTAAAGTCATTCTAGTGTGTAATACTCTTGGTATTATTATTTTCGTCTCTCCTATCTTTTTTCTCCTCTTCATTTCTTCCCCCCATGCAGGCAAGCAAAGTCGACGTGCATCTCGTTATTTCTCTGCTTTTGCTTTCATCCCTCTCTCTCTCTCTCTGTCTTTCTGAATATCACTGTAACTAGCCAACAACAGTGGTAAGATTATAACAGTGAATATTTTATCTATTTACCGTATTGTAGTATTGACGTTTATTTAGCGTCGTTTAAAACTGCAATTCGGCACGTGCAACAACCATACTGGAACTAGGACTACACATGCACCTGTAATCAGGTATGCGCCATTAGAGATATCAAATCATGAAAGCTCCGAAGGAGTAGCCTATGTGATGCAGAAACACTTCTTATTTGAGGAACTACGCCTGTGCGATTGTCTGCAGTGTTCTACCTCTATAGGTTAGATAAGGCTACTCAGCTTGAAAGATGCGGCCATCCTATATCTGTATTGTTTTTTGTTTTTATTTCTTCTGGAACATACCATTATTTGTGGGAACGATGACGAAGGCTACCCCATAAGATAAACAACAATAGCAACTCTGGTTTTACGTCACAGAGCCACGATAAGGTTATGAGGGATGCCGTAGTGGAGGGCTCCGGAAATGTTGACCATCTGGCATTCTTCAACGTGCACTCACATCGTAGGGTCTCTTCGTAGGGGCATTCTTCGTAGGGGCATTCTTCATAGGGCACATCGTAGGGGCATTCTTCAACGTGCACTCACATCGTAGGGGCTTCCATTGAAATGTGACAAACGAGGCGGGGATCGAACCTGCGACCTTCGGGTGAGCAGCTCGGAACCTTACCCGCAGTTCTACCGAAGCGGACTGCCACGTATGATGGGCACGGCACATTTTATTGGACGAACTTCTGTGCACAGGAAATGACAACTCAAACTGCAAGGAATACACGCTGTACACAAATAGCGCCCAGCCGCTGCGGTGGTCTTGGGGCTATGTTACTTTACTGCTGACCCGAAAGTCGTGGGGTTGAATCCCGGTTGCGGCACAGTGGAGGTAAAAGGCTTGAGGCCCGTGTGCAGAGATTTATGCGTGCGATAAAAATTGTAAAGTGACTGAAATATCCGTTGTTTACCATCATATATCGTCCCTTATAATGATATTGTTTTGAGAAAACTACCACTCAAACAAAATAGACAAACACGGGAGAAAAGAACAAAACATACTTTTTTTTCATTCATGTCTATTGTGTGTGCGCTTTATTTTTTGCAAAATGTATTCATACACCCAGCCGCGGTGGTCTAGTGGCTAAGGTACTCGGCTGCTGACCCGCAGGTCACGGGATCAAATCCCGGCTGCGGCGGCTGCACTTCCGATGGAGGCGGAAATGCTGTAGGCCGGTGTGCTCAGATATGGGTGCATGTTAAAGAACCCCAGGTGGTCGAAATTTCTGGAGGCCTCCACTACGGCGTCTCTCATAATCATATGGTGGTTTTGGAAAGTTAAACCCCACAAATCAAAAATGTATTCATACTCACTTGTTCAGCTCTCTAAATTTTTACATTAGAAATCATATCGCGTTTTTCGCACATAGGTTTCCCAGAATTATTACTTTGAGCACTTAGCCCAGTATTCGGCCATCAATAATCAGGTAAAAAAACTTGTTGTCGGGATAGGTGGTAGAACTTTTCAAAAAATAATTTGAACGCGGACACACGACACATTTACGCACATACACACCCAGACAGTGTCGTGCGTGTTTGATGCCTGGCAGTGTGTGTGCGTAAATGTGTCGTGTGTTTGCGCTTAAAATAATTTTTTAAATAATAAGGTCGTAGGCGAAAACATGCGTCGTCTTTTAAGACGAAAGATAGAAAATTCCAGCTTTGCTGTGGTGGCTAGTGTTAATTGATTGATATGGGGGGTTTAACGTCCCAAAACCACCATACGATTATGTGAGACACCGTAGTGAAAGACGGCAGAAATTTTGAACACATAGGGTTTTTGAAAGTGCACACAAATCTGAGCACACGGGCCTACGACATTCCCACCTCCATCGGAAACGCAGCCGTCGCAGCCGGGATTTGATCCCGTGACCTGCGGGTCAGCAGCCGTATACCTTAGCCACTAGACCACCGCGGCAGAGCTGTGGCTAGTGTTAGCTACAAAGTACACTCTCAAACTGGTTTAATGCACGTCGCCTTATTATATTAATATAAAACAACGGATAAGTTAGAAAAATCCAGAAGCCTGGTCAACGCCTAGTGGTTGTAGCAGTTGTTTGTCGTGAAACCCTATTTTTTATTTCAAAAGAAAGGAATAATCACAATCGGTGATATATTAAGCCGTTTTATGGGAGAACGAGTAGGCTTTTTGAACCTTCAGCAACACCTCACAGTTCACTAACGCAAAAATCAAACTACCATTCTACCAACATCATTCATTTCAAGTCTGAATTCGCGTATAAAATGACGTTCTAATCTTACTTACGCCCCAGGTATGAAAATGTCACTCTGGTACTCAAGCTCAAGTGTCAGCTAATTAAGGAATACAACAACGTTGTTGTTCTGGGGCTGAGTCTTGAGCTACCGAATGGGCCTGCAATGCTGTGCGTTCTTTGCAGAGTTAGCTATAGACCATTCCCGACTGAATGAACATTCGCCATAAATTCATGTTTGGCAGTTAGTTTCTCGCAGATGTAGATATAAATTGGCCTTCATTGTTGTGTGTGTTCACTTTTAACTAAGGTTTTCTTCGCACTCGTTAATTGCTTTCTTTGTAGCCTATAGCTACCCATTTACCGACTTATATAGTAGCCCTGACGATCCTTGCATTTTCGGAGATGAACGTCTTTCAGTGCACGCGGTTATACAGTAAGGCAGACTCACCCATTTCATTCGTGGCCGGGTCGTAGAACGCGTTCACAACCGCTGCTCCGACTATCCACCTGTGTTCGAAAGCAATTCAAATAAGCAAATATTGTTCACGTAAAAATGGTTGCCACTGTGCACACTGCGCGTAGGATAATGCAGCCTAGCATGATATTTCACACTTTTAAAAAACTCTCGGCCGGACAGAAAGAAAAAAAAAAGTCGTCAGTATCACCTAAGTTTTCTGATCACTTTATTGGTGGCATTTCCCACATCTAGACAAAAGGTGTGCGATTAACTACGTCGAACCAGCTCGAAAAAACAAAGTACTGGAAACTAAGGAAGGAAATTTTAAGCGTAGAGATACTTTCCTTATGTTTTAACAACAGAGATGCATTAACGAACGCGTATTTAATAAACGTGCGCATGTTGCAGCGGACTTCACTGTTGGAATGAATATTTGTATGCTTTAGATGGTAACTTCTTATTGCTAAATCATATAAATGCGAAAATGATCCGTACAGTGAGTGTTTTTTAGAATTACTGCAAAATTTGGTAGAAGAAACATTAGAACAGAAAAGAAGAGATGCCACGAGTTGCAGCAGTAACCTTAAGTTTTATGTTACTTGTTATTTACCATCACGTACTTTTCAAAACCAACTTTCGATAGGAACAGCATAACTTCAACCTACTCCAAATCCTTGTTGTAAGGCTCGCGCAATTTCTCTAGCTTTTTTCTTCCGTTGTTCACTGCGATGTAATGCCATATTTTCAAGAACGCGTGGGTAGGGTCCAGCTGGGGAACCTGAAAAATAATAAAAAAATTCACTCATCGCATGGTATAGCTTCGCTTATGGCAACGGTAGCTGTCCAACGATTGTCCCTCTTTTGCTTTATTGGCGATTCCAGCTAAGTTAAAAGAACACTTTTAGGAAACATGCTACTGCAAACTGAAATTTTAAGCGATTTCACTGCTCCAGGATTTTAATATTTGATGCTGTCTTCAGGCTTCTAACTACTTGTCTTCATAAAGAAAAACTCTAGGTATATTTATTATCTCTATATTTAGGCAGACCGGGGCAGTCATGAACTATAAAGGTACCTTGCTGCTACTAAAATAAACTTAATCTCTGTAGAAAAATGTTTTCTTGAATATAATAGCTCCTTAACTCTTGACTGGAGTTCAACTTAACTCACAATACCGCTTTAATGTGAATTCTAATTCACTAGCGTACGTTGTCCAATAAACTCTAACCACCACATCACGTTCTGGCAGCAGAGTTCATTTTTCATGGAGATCACCCCTTTCGATGCTGTCAGTTGAACTGAGCTAGGTAGCCCGCAGAGTTTATTGGCGCTATGTCTGAGTTGAAAACAAGTTTTTTAGAGCAATCTTTTTTTATGCCAGGAGTGTACAGCCTAATCGACATTAATTACCATCTGATGACCCTTTCACGATTACACCCAGTGTGGCCATGCTGCAGTATCCAATAATTTTACTCTTGGCTTCGCCTAAGCTATACTGGCGCGGCATGTATCGGAACTTTCGCCAGTACGCTCGGTCATGTGCCACGTGTCAACACCGCAAGACGCCTTCTCACAGCACTGCTGGTCCTTCGCAACCCTTAACCTGCTCAGCGAGACCATTAAACTACGTCATAATTGATCTTTATAGTCCTCTACCCAACACTCTTCGAGGCAACCGGTAGATTATCGTCGTCGTCGATCATTTTTTGACATGCTACGCTGAAACATCTGCACTGCCTGCTACCACTGCGAAATACGTTGCGTCCTTTACTCTTCACCATCTAATTTTGCGGCATGGTGCACCTCGTGAATTACTGGGTGACCATGTACGCGTGCTTCTCTTGAACGCCGTCGACGAGCTGCTCAAGGAATGTCGCACAGTTCATTGGAAAACCTCGGCATACCATCCTCAAACCAATGGCATGACAAAACGCTTTAATTGTAACCTTGGAGATATGCTTCCCATGTACGCTTCTGACGACCACACTAATTGAGACAAGGTGCTCCCTTTTGTCACGTATGCACAACAATTTGCCACAAACAACCACCGGTTTCTGTCCTTTCTTCCTCCTGTACAGACGCGAACCATCATGCTCCATGAATACCATTCTCCCTTACAGACCTGATGTTTCCGAAGCGATGCCTGTTTCTGAAGCAGCTGCTTATGCCGAAGAGTGTCGTCAACTCACTCGCTGGTTTGCCGCGCAAGACCAATTGTGCCAGAAAACTGACCACAGTGACTCTACGCATAGTACCCACTATAACCTAGGAATGTTGGTTCGGCTCTGGGTCCCGTCTACCTCTCCTGGTCTTTCCCCAAAGCTTTCGTCGAAATATCATGGCCCCTGCAGTGTGTTGCGAACAATATCTCCCGTCAAATATGAAGTTGAGCCCATTGATCCACCTTCGGAACAATGCTGCCGTGTGCGTGAAACAGTTCACGTATCAGGTTCAAACCTTGCCATGACCCCCTGTCGTGTCATTTCCTTATGTCGCCAGGTTGGTTCCTTTCTGAGCGGGGAGTAATTGCGGCGAAGCATAGTGGTGCCAGCTCTATGTCATCGTGAAAAAAGGCGTGAACGTCCATGTGGCTCGTGCTTAGCGGGTTCCTGTCTGAACCACTTGTTGCGGCTAACGCTTCATCAATAATAACTAGCGTTTACACGTGAACTCGCTCGTTGCAGTAAATATATAATGAAGCACGGACATCACTACTACATCAATACATTCCCAAATTTTTTTCGCGAGCAAAGAAATAGCTACAGAGGAAGCACCACCCAGCGCCAATCACGATAGGACATGCTGAGCACGTCTGAACCGCCAAGGCAGCCTCTAACTCCTCAATCTGTGACGCGAATACTTCTGGGGACCTCCTTGATATCAGTTCCTTATAACGTGATTGACAGCGGCGATATTAATTTGGTATGTGGATAAGAGAACAAACCGGGGTTAAGTATATCTTCGTAAAAATCAAGAAGAGGATATGGACATGAGCCGGGCATTTAGCACGTAGACAGGATAACCGCTGGTCATTAAGGGTAACTAACTGAATTCCCAGAGAAGGCAAGCGGGTTAGGGCGAGACAGGAAGTTAAGTGGGCAGATGGAGTTAAGAAGTTTGCGGGTATGAAATGGCAGCAAGAACAAGACCGAGTTGACTGGCGGAACATGGGAGAGGCTTTTGTCCTGCAGTAGACGTAGTCAGGCAGATGATGATGATGATGACGATACCTACTACGACCAGCATGCTTTTTTATAACGGAATCTTGTTGTCGGCGTTCAAGCTGTGCGAAGCCCCAATATTCATTGGTGGTCCTGCAGAACTTTGTAAAATTAGAGTGGCCCATATATCCCACTTTATATTTGTACATATTTCATTTTTTTAATTCCGGCTTTAATTATGCGTTTTCAAGAAGTAATCGAAACTATTGCGGTCATCTATTGGTAGATTTGCAGCACTTCCCGTAATACTTTCTTCTGCTCCATGCGGAGCAAGTCTGTTCCCTTGTCAGACTGAGAATGCTTCATATATGTTCCATTGGCAGTTCTGGAGCAGCTCCGTCGCAAGATCCACTCCACGGAGCTACTTTTTCTGCTCCGATAAAATCGGCGTATTCGACCGAAAGTCGTATTTGAGTGCGCCAATGAATGCCGGTCGCGTCAGTTGCGCCTCGCACCGGAGCTTACGTTTTGCTAGCGTAGCATCGTTGTGCTCAGCGTGCCCACTCATGCAAGAAGAGAGACGCGCGCATCGCGTTCCATTCTGACCCTGCCATTTTTTTCCTGGGGAAGCGCATGTGTTCTATTGGTAGATTCCCTTCTGTTGCGCCCCCGCCAGAGTGGAGTGCTCTGGCGCAGAGTTCGTCGGCCACTCCGCATCCGCCAATAAATGACAGCATACTACTGAGATGTTACGTGCATCGTAATAATTAGAGTGAACAAAACGCATCGACTAATAATGAAGACCTGCATTCCTATATTTCTTTTGATGACTGTTCGGTGCGCTGGTCTGGTTTGTATTGTCTTCATTTTTTACGTTCAATTTTCTAGACCATATATTGCGTCTATGCAATATCAGTAAATCGATGGTAACAATTTCTCATACCTTTATAGGAATCATTGGGTTTACGGAGCATCCAGGCAAACCACCCTTCTGTGTAAATATTTTAAACAACAGTAATTGCGTACTCTATTGTCGTGATGATATACAGGTACTTACGTAATGATATAGCTCTTCGAGGAATGTCATGTTCAGCCCCCATTTCGGATATGCAATTTTTGAATCCATTTGATCCAACTGAAACCAAAATAGAGCACGTGTTTTAGGCGCTCATAGGTGGTTCTACGGTTATGTGTGGTCCCGAGCTGCAGTGACATTTTAATGTCCATGATATTTATTGATATAATTCAACGCATAACTTTATGTCTGTCTGCCTGCCTGCCTGCCTGCCTGCCAGTCGATAAGTCTCCCGAGCGAAAGTTTAACGCCTTGCTCAACGCCCACCCATCTTGGTCGCCTGGTGGCGTTTATACTTGCAAACATTGTCAATATTGAGCAATATTGAGCGATTATTGACCAAGTTTCGGTGCATAATCATCAAGTGAGTATTAGGTTGTGTGCTTTTATTTACAAAATGCGTATATACGTAATTATAAAGACTGCAGTGTTTCTTACACTGCGCTGTTTATTATACGACGCTGCGAACGAAATAGCGAGTGTTTTCTACGTTTCACTTAAGGGACATGTTGCTGCCACCTAACAATGTAGCCCTTCACGCTAAAAAAATACTTTAGTTCTTTAAATTACTGCCAGAAGGCGTTTATATCACACGCAGTGCCTCCATACAGCGTACTATAGTTTTTCGTGTCATTTGTGGGGTCAATACGGGGTCAATTTTGTTGCGGCCCATTTTCTACACATTTTCTAAACTTCAATTGAAATTGTATATAGCAATTGTACGCTTCTTTCGCCTTATTGTCTCTTCGATTCGCATTACCAAACGGCTAGCAACAACAAAAATGCGAATCGTTGTTTCATTTACTTAAATTTTTATATAACTACGGTCTGTCGTACAGAAACACACCTTCTTTTTGCGTTACCAACTAGTGTCTCGTTTGTGAATCATTTTTTTTTTGTTTGTTAGGGCGAAAGTCTTGTATATCTCGTGAGTCAAGAATTTTGGGAGAATTGGCGAGACTTCGCGATAGTGATGCCAACCCTAAGAATTTATCGCTAGATCCAGAAATGTTTAACCTCCTCGAGGCATTCGGCGCCTTTTTTTGAATGTAGCAATTTTTGTAAGGCTCCGTAAATGTGACATTACGCGGCCTGATTACTAAGTGATCACGATATTTCAGCTATAAAAGCTCTAAAAGATCGTAATGTAGGCTATTTGATTTTTTTTCTGTTTAAGACAGCTGGGTGTTCTAATGGACCGCGTGAAGGGGATAGCAGTTCTGAAACGCGAGATTATTACATTCTGACTACTGGGGAAATGTAAACTTTGTAGTGGTTAGAGTTCAGCACGCGCATATGATGAGCTCTCTGGGTGATTGCTGCACTGTGAAACAAAGAAAAATTTTGTCTTGTAGTGCACAAAAAAACACGTGTTAAAGAGTATACACCCACTGCTTGCCTTCGCCGAGCAATGTCGCCCTGTGAAATAACCAGGAATATTAAAGAACAGAGTGAAAATGGGACTAAAATTTTGTATGGTGTTACAGGTTCAGTATTCCGGAAACAGTGTGATATAAAAGAGACAAGACGACTGTTCGGGTGTTTTTCTTTCCGGAATGCCATTTACATGAAGCGAAGAAGTCACTAAAAGAGTTGACCATACAGGGAGCTCATCAAAAGTTCAGAGGAAAGACGGTGTAATCAGCCAGTATTATAGTGCCCACTTACATCTACTGAAAATATTGCTACAGTGATAGCAAATGTGGAAAATTAAAAATAGACCACAAGCTGTCAAGCTGCAAATACAAGAAAGACACTACAGACTTACGGTTGACCTGAATGATTATATATATATATATATATATATATATATATATATATATATATATATTATGACGACTCGGTTGTAGCGAGGTTTATTGGCCGTGAACTCGGGAACGAACAAGCGCAACGGACCCGACAAAGAAGCGCTCGTGCCAAGCAGATGATGATTGTCATCCAGAACATATGATGATGATTGACTGCTGTTCAGATGAGGATGAAGCGCATAATAGATGCCTACACTGATTCCCCCCCCCCCCCCCCGTGGAAGCGGCCAGCCTGGCCGCTGCGGGCGGGTAGTCAAGGTGACGAGGAAGGTCGTGTGAAAAGCTTCATGCGGGAAACGTGTACAATTTCGGTGCTGCGGTAACGGCGGTCAGTTGGCACGACAAGAGGCGTCACGCGATAGTTGACAGGTGAAGTCTGCTCTAAAACAACATATTGGCCGATGAATCGAGGCTGGAACTTGTCGCAGAGACCAGGTGTGCGAATTGGTGTCAATAGCAGCACCTCGTCATCCGGTCGGAATGATACCACACGATGAGAGGTGTCGTAGACGGCCTTCCTTGCTTGTTGCGTAGCTTCCGTGTTCATACGAGCGCGCTGGCGGCACTGGGCAAGGCGAGAAATATATTCTTCGCAAGAAGATGGTGATGTAGGGCCATTGCTGGTGAAGAAGGAAACATCGATAAAGAAAGTAGGTGAACGTCCGTAAACGAGATAAAACGGTGAGTAGCCTGTTGTGCGCTGGACAGCGGTGTTGCAGGCGAAAGTGAGGAACGGTAGAAGTTTATCCCAGTTTCTGTGATCCGGTTGAATGTATACGGCGATCATGTCGGCAAGGGTTCGATGAAATCTCTCGGTCAGACCATTTGTTTGAGGATGGTAGCTAGACGCCATCTTGTGTGTGGTACCAGAAACGCGAAGAACTTCACCTAAAAGCTGTGATAAGAACACCTTTCCACGGTCACTCAGAAGTACACGAGGTGCACCATGACGTAGTATTATGGCCTGAAGGACGAAGTCAGCAACTTCCGATGCTGAACCAGTAGCTACTGAAGTTGTCTCGGCGTAGCGTGTCATATGGTCTACGGCGGTGACTATCCATCTATTTCCAGCACCAGTAACAGGAAGGGGTCCATAAAGATCGACACCGACGACCTCGAAAGGTGTTGTAGGGCACGTCATTGGCTGTAACTGACCAGCTGGGGGAGATGTCGGAAGTTTGCGAAGTTGGCATGGAGAGCAGGAACCCACGTACTTTGCTACGCTGGTAGAAATCCCAGGCCAATAAAAGCGGCTTCGAATGCGGTCGTAGGTTTTTTGAAAGCCTAGGTGGCCAGCAGTCAAATCGTCATGAAAGGCGTTAAGTACATGACGTTGAAGAGCGCGTGGCAGAACAGGTACCCAGCGTGTGCCGTCAGGATGATATATGTGACGATACAGCACACCGTCCTGAAACCTGAAGTGCTCGAGTTGTCGACGAAGGCGTGCATTGGCTGGACGTAGGCTGGACCGGTGAATGATGTTAGTTCCTCCCTTACGATGTCACGGAGGGCCATGCTTGAAGGCTGTGTGACAGATGGAGAAGGTTGTGAGATGCCCATTGATTGAAGTTCTTCTCGTATGATCTCCCGTATCATGTCACGCAGGTCCCGGTCTGCGGTACGGTGTTCACTATTGCCTGACTGAAGGCGAACAGAATCAAGTTCGTCGAGACGCTGACACGTAGAGACGACGTCCGTGACAGTAGAAGGATTCTGGGCAACAAGGGCATTGTAGGCAATGCCTCCGATGCCCTTCAGGATGTGGCGCAGCTTGTCCGACTCGGACATCGAAGAATTGACGCGCCGGCAAAGCGCAAGGACATCCTCGATATAAGATGTGTATGACTCGCCGGGATGTTGTTGGCGAGTATCTAGGGCCCTCCTCGCTAGAGCGGATCGAACGGCTGGCGTGCCGAATACTTGGCGAAGCTGCTGCTTGAAGGCAGGCCAGTCGGTGAGGTCGATCTCATGGTTCAAGAACCATGTCTTGGCAACGCCCGTGAGATAAAGCGATACTCGGCGGAGCTTGTTAGAGTCGTCCCAGTGATTAGTTGCGCTTACCCGCTCGTAGTTATCGAGCCAGTCCTCCACATCTTCGCCGCGGAGACCAGCGAAGATCGGAGGGTCACGCTGGTGGTTTACGATGTAAAGAGGAGGGGCTTGCGGCGCAGTGACGGCTTGCGGCGCAGAGACGGGAGCCGAAAGGGCATCCACTCACTCACTGTGAGACATGTTGGCGGACTGAGGGTCCAAGCGGCGGCCTGAACGGAGCTCCAGCGAGTAGGCGTTGTAAGTAGAGGTACTGGGAACGTCAATCCACTTCCACCACGTATGACGACTCGGTTGTAGCGAGGTTTATTGGTCGTGAACTCGGGAACGAACAAGCGCAACGGACCCGACAAAGAAGCGCTCGTGCCAAGCAGATGATGATTGTCATCCAGAACATATGATGATGATTGACTGCTGTTCAGATGAGGATGAAGCGCATAATAGATGCCTACAATATATATATATATATATATATATATATATATATATATATATATATATATATATATATATATATATATATATACTTATATGTTTACAATGAGTGTGCAAACTGAATTTGACATGTCAATTTGTCTCTGTGGCAACAGGTGCCATTAGCAAGCACTTCATATGCAACTACACAGAATGTGTGGAAAAAAGGCCTTAATATATTTTTAATGGTGATTTTTACTTTTAACAAGATTCAGAACTACTTGACCACAAAACGCACCATCTTAACACTTTGTTAACAGTTCATTAGTCCGAATAGCGACAATAAACTATAAACTACAAATTTAGCTTGCAATGAGGAAATTTCTCAAGGGTCAATCTAGAGATAAAACGTCTCCTTCGGTTGGCATCACTGCCTGGTGATGCCTCGCAACAGCATGCTGGTGGTGTCGACATCAAAGTGAATGATGCGAAAAAAAAACAGATAATAAACACGGGGATAAGACACGTAAAGGCCAAATAAATGTGCGTGTGTGTGCAGTCCGTGAAACAAAAGTTTCGTGTACACCATACAACAGAAAACTATCAATGACGGCACAACTAACCACTATTCATAACACCGTAGTGACATCGTTATGATGCCTCAACAAGACGTCAACGGGCGATGTCATCACATGCTTGATGTGGTCGCTTGATCAAAGTTTTATCTATTACTTACTAAAAAAACCACTTCATCGGCCCGAATGCGCATTAAAGTTACTTGGTGGTGAAGAGAAATTTGTGACCTGTCCTGTTCTCGAGTTGATGTTTTTTTTTGTTATCTTTATGTAGTGTATACCACGAATAACTGCGATTATGACTGACTTTTAGCCTGTCGCTGAGCTTACAGCAAATGCTCTATTCTACTAGACTACATTAGTATGACAACACATTGAATATTTGCTCATTAGGAGCAGCTGGCTAAAAGATTTTTCTTGATAATTTCTGACACCAACTGACTAGCGAAACATGCTGCACACTAACATTTTTTTGGGGGGTAGGGGTGTTACAGAGAAACGAGAAAAAAAAAAGGAAGGCAGGGAAGTTAATCAGATGCTAATATCCGATATGCTACCCTACACTGGGGTTCGGAAATTAAGGGTTGGAAGAGAGAGAGAGAGAGAGGTAAAAAATAAATAAGAGCAAAACACACACCCGCCAACACCTAAAATCAATCCACTAAGAGTCGTTCCGACAGGCCAATATATAGTTCGCAAGAAGCCCAGTAGTGCTTGCACGGCCTTCCGGGATGTTGAGTCATGACAGGGGGGGTTACATATGAACAATGCAATAGATTGAGAATAAGGCTCAGAGCAAACTCCCGCGCCACCAAACGTTATTGAAGCACTAAGGTGCCCTTCAAAGCGTCGTTCTTTACGTGTAATGGTATGTTGAGTGCGTCATAAATAACTGATCGATTGATTGATTGATTGATTGATTGATTGATTGATATGGGGGGGGCTTTAACGTCCCAAAACCACCATATGATTATGAGAGACGCCGTAGTGGAGGGCTCCGGAAATTTGGACCACCTGGGGTTCTTTAAAGTGCACCCAAATCTGAGCACACGGGCCTACAACATTTCCGCCTCCATCGGAATTGCAGCCGCCGCAGCCGGGATTTGAACCCGCGACCTGCGGGTCAGCAGCCGAGTACCTTAGCCGCTAGACCACCGCGGCGGGGCATGACCGACATGTTAATATTTTTATACGAGTCTGCATAGTAGTGTATCGTTTTTCCGCCGTGGTGGTCTAGTGGCTAAAGTACTCAGCTGCTGATCCCGGCTATGCGGTGGCTGCAATTTCGATGAAGGCGAAAATGCTGTAGGCCCGTGTGCTCAGATTTTGGTGTAGGGTAAAGAACCCCAGGTGGTCGAAATTTCCGTAGTATGCTGCTATGGCATCTCTCATGATCATATTACGGTTTTGGGGCATTAAGACCCACACATCAATCAAATCAGTGTATTGTTTTGGCTGTCGTAAAGAGAGCTAGCATTGACATATTCACAGTTATGAGACTAGGCTTTGACATGAGGAGATATGGAGTGATGATGCACTTTAAATGGACACTAAAGAACGTGATAATTTTCGCCTATTAGTAAAGTACAATTTCACAATCCTGAAAACGCCGCCATTACCATGGCGAGTAAGTGAACGCGCAAAGAGAAATGGCGGGTCGAGACGTCGCTGTGAGATTCCCGCAGCAAACACCGCGATGTAGTAGTACTTGAAGGCTTCTATACTGGGTCATACGTAGCGTCTATTCAGTAAAAAGGAAGTACATTGTCATGTGTGGGTGCCACAGACCAAGCACAAGGAGTGTCGGAGAATTTCATCGAGCAGATTTCGCGAAAGTTCGTTTTTAAGTTGTTTCGTCACGCGTTCAGACCTCGGCGTGAAATTTCAAAATGAAAATTTCACCTTGATTTCTCGACTATTGTCGAACATATTACAGCAAAATTCATGGCATTAGAGTTCTCAGACTGCAGTTCCTAATCTAGACCAAGTCATTGTTTTTCTTAAGTGTCTCTTTATTGCGTCTCCTCGCAGTCCTGTATTAATTGCGTACTTCAGACGCCCTTTCTTGCGTATTTGTAGAGAGACTCCTTTTGACCGAATTGCTCTTGTATAAAATTCGCTAAAGCTGAAAAAAAATCGCCCTTAACTGCTTTAATTTATGTTAAGGCAACAATTATATACAAATCTGTAGTTTTTGCTTGTTCTTGTTTTTGCTTGTTTTGCTGTCGCGTGTATCTATGTAGGGTTTGTTTTTCAATCGGTAAACGTCTCGTGGGACTTCTGGTTGTGTGATGGTGACCCTCGGCAGCCCACTGCCAGCAATTCTTCAACCTAACTTGAGTATTATATAATTATTGTTTGAGTTTCTCGTTGTTCTGTTTTGAAGCAATGGAAACAGAACAAATCGCATGGCAAGGAATTGGTGTTTAATATTTTAACACAACAAAACCTATTGCCACTTCTTCTGAACGGCACATGACCTGGAAGGATGGAAACCAGTATGGCTGCTCGCGTGGATTCAGAGATCAGTGGCATGAGTCACTGCTCATGATGCATTGAAATGTTTGTTGGAACTTCAGTGCGTTTCAAGTCAAAGCTTTGAACCACTGAAACCCCATGTTGCCTCCTTCTGCTGCTTTCATTGGCTTTCACTGAAACAAATATATCTGCAATCGAGGTTGTTTATTCCAGCTGAATAGTTTCTGATAAATTGCTTGCGTGGGCTGGTGTGTTGCTGTGTTAATAATATTGGTACAAGCATTGCTCTCCCCTGCTCATATTTTAGTTGCGTTATGATAGTTCTCATCAAATGTTTCTTGTTGTATAATGTAATATAATCAACTCAAATTAGCACGTTGCTAGCACACTCAGTTTTAGTCACCACTTTAGTTGAAGTGAAATTGCGTCCTAAGTGAACTTTGAACGGGAGAAACGCTCGAAAAGAACGATTACGTGTTTATATTTAAAGCAGCGCTGATCAATTTAGCATTGTTAATTACAACCACTTCTGCATTTAGAGCTGTATATGCGGAAGTTCCGTATAACCAAACCGATCAAAGAGAAATACGAGTGCAAAAAACTTTTGGAAAGGTTTCTCATTTACCGGGAATAATGTTTTTTTTTTTTCTTAGAAAATGAGATAAACAGACCATACATCGAATTCTATTTGTTTCCGAGTGTGCATTGCTTGAACTTATCTTGTAAACTCACTGACTCTCAGGACTATTTTCGGGATTGTTTATCGCGATCAGCTAAAGCTATAGTTGTCTTTCTTAGCTTCAGCAGTTAAGCCTTCAGTGCTGTAGTTGTTACGTTGCTAAGCTCCTCATCCACTGGTCACAGGTATGATCCGAGACCTGATGCTCACATTACCGATTGATGCGAAAGTCCTAGAGGCTGTTGTGCATGTAAATAAGCCCTGGTAGCCTAAACACTAAGCTTTTTCTAGTACGACGACCTTCAATATCATACCATGATTTTGCAGCATAAAATTTCAGGAGCCAATAGGCTCGGTAGCATTATTATGTCTGACACGTTTGCATAAGAGCATCCAAAAAAAGTTATGAACCTGTTTGAATGTTACACCATAGATTTCCGAATTGGCACGCATGTACTCCTACAATCTGCAGGGGTTCAGAAGATGTTATGTTTGCACTTGCATACTTGGAGAGTTTGAAAGATGGCAGTGAGACATTTCGACGAATACAGTGAACTAGAAAATGAAACTTCATCTCTAGAGAAGAAAATAACTATCGTTTTAAGACGTCTCTAAGGAAGGAGCTAGACTCACCTTGAGCAAAGCCTTTTGTTTAGTCTCTTTGTCCATCCAGCGGTTCTCTTCGAGTGATGATTTGAAAACCTCTTTAAGTCTTTTGACCAGATCTTCAACCTGTTAGAGAGCAAATATTCGTGGTATAAAGAACCCACAAGATGATAGAGTAAACAAAATATACTGATGAAAACGAAATTGTTCAAATGGGTGTGTACCAGTGGCCTAACAAGTGTAGCATTTGCCTGTACAGCTAATATTTCCACAAAGTGTTGCCGACGCGGAAGCTTCAAGATATAAATTCCGTGTTGTCAGGAGGGCGCTTGAAAAGGAAAGAAAATTTATATCTTTATAAGATTTTATACTATATCGCTTGCTTTTTTTGTCAGGACGAAAGTTCCAGCTTGTCCATTATGTTTTTTTTAAATCTTGCCTCTGTAAGCGTGGTTAAGCAACTTGCTCCATCAAAAGCTTAAGCGACGTAAATTTTTTACTCGTTACTATATATGTGTAGAGGATGCCTATATTTTTCGGTGCATATAACCTTCTTTCATGGCAGTAGCCTGTGGTATCTTTCTTATGTTTCATATCTGGAAGCTTTGATTGTAAAATGGCAGCTTTTATTTTGTGTTCCGTATCTTCTTGCAGGCTCTCTACGCCATCCACATTTCCGCGATCTGTCGATAGCGCATCACTAAAGCAAACTGGCTCCTTGGTTCAAGTTGGAAAAGACGTTTCGTTGTCTAAAACAAGACAAAATGATCCATGCATGCTCTATGCACCTGACTGAGAATTGTCATTTTATCTTTTCACTTGGTGTTATCTTTGGTATACTTTTGTAGTTTTCCATCTATTCGCATTATCCAGCAAATTGTGCCCATTTCCATCATTTTGGTGTACTGAACTCTCATGAAACTTCTTACGAGCTTAATGTGGCAGCTACAGTGACGAGGCGTCCCTCATACCAATATTTAATTCATCTTGAAATAATTTACCATATATGCAGCGTGCTTCCGGTGAATGTTTTCTTCCTTTTTGGAGACGTACAGATCAGCTCTTTTCTCACACAGTAGGATGAGCTGAACGATGTGTATCTTTCAAAGACCATAGCACCATAATTAGATTTCACAAGGCACCAAAGCCCGGTGGCCTGGGTTTGACTTCGTGCACTCTCTGAAAGATTTCCACTAATAAATCAATATTACATCTCAAACTTGCACGTATTTGTTGTTTTTTTATGCCATTTGAAATGTAATATTCTTGTGGTTACGCCCTATTCTCCCCACCTATTATTCTTCTCTCCCTCTTCCAAGTACGGAGCATAGAGCCCGAGCTATCGTATGCTGTCATATGCTCTCATCGCATGGTGCAATACACGCACAACCGCGTAGAGCATATCCGTCAGTATCATATTGGGCACCCCTGCACGGCAAGGTGGCCTTCATTTTCGCCTTCGAGTGCCTTGATGAGATACTATATGGGGAGCACTTTAGCGGCCAGATGTGTAGTACGCTGAGGCCACTTAAAGTATTTCAGGCAAAGCCATCCACAGAAATGAGAAAAAGAAAAAGCAAGCGAGAAATAGAGTGAAAAACAATGGGAAAAACATGAATGGAGAGAGAAATGTATGAAAGTAGGCTGAAAGAACACCGAGAAGACTAGAAAAGACAGCAACAAGAAAGAGAGGCTGAAAGAAAAGAAAGGAGAAGAGAAACAAAGAAGGCTCCAAACTTTCCTTGAAGACAATGATCGTCTTGGTCGATATTAGTGCGCTTAAGCTTTTCTTTCTTCCTTTTAACGCCGCAACGCATATTTATATACCTGCTGCTTATTATGTGGACAATTATGTGACTTTCGACTGTATGCATCTCGGTTGATATTCGATTTAGCATCACCTTATATGCACTTATATGTAATTGTTGAATACGTTGTTATGAAATTTCATATTCTTACCATCATGCTAAATTGAGTATTGTGTCTCTTATGGACTTCTTTGCAGACTTTGGCCCTACGTGCTCAATTTTGTATACCTCTAAGGGATAAAGCATAGCCAGCGTCCTGTTTGTGCGCCAACATCTCCTCGCATCACTTCATTTAAATCAATTAAAAAAGATGCCTAGCCACGCACTTCTTTCATGTGGAGCCACGCACACACCAACAAGACCATATATATATATATAGTATATATATATTATATATATATATATATATAATATATATATATATATATATATATATATATATATATATATATATACACTTAGCACTGACTCCTCACCTCGGTTTTTGCTTCAGGACTGAACTTCTCTTTTACGTATAAGTAACCTGTAACCTCCATCATCGCATCGTTGATGAGATTGGTGCACTCTTTCCACCTGGGAGGTAGCTCCTGTATCCCTGATGTTGCTTTCTTGACACCGAATAGGGCATCCCGAATATCGCGGGAAGCGTGGGGTGCCCACAGCAACATGATACGAAGACCTATATAGTTGAACAGCAGTACTCTGGAAAAAAAATTGCATACTTCTCTGTGCAGCCATAAACTAGGACAGGCATGTGGATGTTGGTAAGGTTTGTTTCAGTATGAACTTAGTTTACACTACATAAACCAATTTTCGTTTGTCGTATTGTTTAAAATCTGTGTTATGCTTCCAGCAGAAAGATGTAGCCCATTCAATAAAGCGTTCAGTTGAGTTCATTAGGTATCTTCTATTTTATTTTAACTCTACGAAGAGCTTCCGTCATATTAAGAATCTCCGTCATGTTAAGAATATTTGCGTCTTACTTGATCGCATAACAAATGTTACCTAACACTCCTTTATACGAAGAGCTTTGAAAATGTAAACCTTTGCCCAATTTCAACGGGTCCACTGTGCTAATGTGTACAATAAATTCAAGAAACTATGGTTAAATACCTTTTCGCATAACGCGGGCTAGAAAATTTTGAAGGGCATCATCGGGATGCCATGAATTGTCGCAACGTGTTAGTATGCCATCCGGCGGTAAAGTAATAGGAAATGTCACATACATTACAATACGTAATCCGTGCAGCTATGACGACCTCTTCATTTTAGTGAATTTTACTCAATCTTCTACCCAACAAAATATTGAGAACCCGCATCTTTATGTGCTAAATTATTGACATTTATCTTGCTTTATTCTACGCCAGCAACACATAGGTAATTTATAAATGGTATCATATGTCAATTTGTGGAATGTATTTCTTTTATTTTTCGCAAATTGCTACAAAAGTGTTGATTTGTATGCTTTTTATTCTTGTATATTATGCTTTCTGTATGGCTTTTTCCAATTTCTACCATTATCATTATGTAGTGGGATGTTAATTATTCTTTTGTTGTAAATAGCTTTGTATACCCGTTCCTGCTCTAAACCCGGTAAACAGGTCAGCAGTATGTATTAAATAAATAAATAAATAAATAAATAAATGATTAAACAAATGATATATTCACAACATGTCAAAGTAATATAATAATCTTTACGCTTATAGAGTGCCATTCCTTATCTTATTCATGTCACAGCCGATTCCCAAAAGTAATTTACGCAAGTTCCTCATAGATGCATATGTAATGACAACGTTTACACATGCTGAGTATTGAAGTTAAACATCATGACCTTAACGCATATTTTTCCACTGTGCATAATAACTTAACAATACTTCTGGTATTCAGAATTTTTACATTCCTTATGACAATTCACATCCAAGATATCAGTCGTATTCTTACGGATTCGTACTCTCCAGAAAGCCGACCAGCTTTTTGTAGTAGTCCATGGCGTACAGTTCTACTGTCTCGTCTTCGGTGAGCATTATGTCAGCCTTGGAGAACTCCCAGTTGAGGAGATCTAAAAGGGGAAACTGATGAAAAATAATGTACCACAAACTGCAACCCAAAGCATTCTCTCTTTTTTTTTTCTTTCGAAGGGAGATATTTTTCAAGGACGAATACAGATGGATGAAGGAAACAAGTGTAAGTGTAAGGGCTCATTTTTCTTCGTTGAAATAGGATCAATTGTACATAGATTCCAAGGAGGTACAGGGGCATGTTATCAGAAGTATTGTAATGTGAATGTGAAGAAAGAAGTGTGCACGAAAAGACAAGTTCTCATCGCCAGGGATCAAACCTGTGATCTTTTAATAATGCTTGCGGTGTTCTACCACTAAGTTGCGGTGGCGGTTTTTTCTCCGTCCCACATATGGAGTATATCATGAGCATTCAAACCTGGGAACGTCAGCCACAGCCTCCTGTTGTCGTTACGGTGAGGGTGGAAAATTATCTGTGCCTGTGGCAAGCTGTTATTTCGTCCCTTGCTTTTTCTTCACAATTACATTACAAATAATGCTAATAATATCTCCTGTACTTTCCTTGGCATCAGTGTTACTTCTCTTGAGAGAAGATAGAGGATTACATGTAAGGTGTGGTTTACCAGCCGACCGCGATCGTGTCAGCGCCTCCTATAGCCGTCACCGCTGGGATTGAGATAAGTAGAATACCAGTCGCAATGAACTCGCATGAGTCGTGGCCACTCATTGTCTTATCACTCTGTCGGCATGCACATTTCTTTATGGTCAATTGTGGCCGTACATAGTGATTTCCATTAGACTTTATGTATATGCGAATAGTTCGTTTGTGATTAGCAGTTACGTGCCGCAAACGCCTTTGCTGAAAAGCATGCATGCTATTTCTTAGTCGATACGGTGTTAAAAGCTTAATTAGCTTGGCTGATGGACAACGTAGTTTGTTGGATTCGAAGCAGCGCGTCGTAGTATTGTAAATAAATTGTTGCGCTAAACAGCCCTTTACAAAAGCGATTGGCTCTTTGGCCTTACTTGGCAAATGGCTGTTGGCGTTAAAATATTTCAAAGTAAACCTCATGACAAATGGTTTCGTTCATAAAAAGTTTAAAGCATACTATGCCTTTCTCGTTTCTTCAATCAAATTGTTGGCACTTGTTGACTATCATTCAAAAGAGAGTATAACTTCATGAGTTCACTTGAAATTAGTTAAATAATTTTTCATAGCAAACACTGCATTTATTTCGTTCCATGCCGTTAGCCACGCCTCATGTAGTGCCTCACGACGGATATCATATGAAGTAGTTTTATGTTCAGTTGTATAGAGCTTCGTGGGGCGGCGTCTTGCATCCCTCGTGTTCCCAATGTTGGCAGCCACGCTGGCTATGCAATAGATAACCGTGTTATAAGATAGCGAGTCACCCCCGTTCGTGGTGCTACGCGGGCCACCACTGAGGAAGCGTAACTGCAATGCTTCTGCAGGCGCTGCTCCATGAAGCAGTAGTGGCATTGCTTCGAACCACGAACAAGGAGCACGAAGGATCGAATCTGACAGACGTATGCTATTGGAATGGAAAACAAGTCTACGACATCTACGGAGGAGAGCGTCCGGAAGCACGTTTGACAAAAGTCTCTGACTTTACGTTTGACGCAAGCAGCGCTACGTATCATGTAGCGTCACATTGCGACCACCCTCTGAACTAAGGCGCACAGATGGCTCCCGTTGAGAGGCGTGCCTTTGCACTCGCATTGAGAGAAAGAGAGAGAAAGAAAGAACAACTTCATTAAAAATAAACCAATGCCGTTCCGGGTGCACTATAAGAAACCCTAACCTTCAAGCAAGCCTACAAGTTTCATACGTTCGAACAGTGCCTTCATGATGTCTGGGGAGGAGTCCTCCAGCCACTCTACCAGGGTCGCAGGTATTATGTTTATAGGCACGTGGTAGAGGCTCTCGCCCATGGCTGCGTGACCACCCGGACAGTCCCACAGAACGTCAGCGTTATCGTAGAAGCCCACGCAGGTCATTTAAGCAGGAGACCCGTCCTTGCCTTGTATGTAGTGCTGAATGTGCGATATCAATTAAATATGGAGTTTGGGCACGCCTTACTAGGGCTGCCTCACCCTCATGGAGTGAAGAGGAGCAAGGCTCATCCCGATCCTCCTCACTGCATAAAGAGACGTGAGGCAGCCCTGAGAATGAGCAGCTGGGTAATGAATAAAGAAGGTGTTGCTCACGCACAAATCAAAACTGCGGAAGTTCTGCCCGCTCGTACTTGTGCGTTCGTTCCGTGCGTCCTTCTTAGTGTTTGAGCTGCGACACTTGTTAGTTCGCACTCGATTGATTGATTGATTGATATGTGGGGTTTAACGTCCCAAAACCACCATATTATTATGAGAGACGCCGTAGTGGAGGGCTCCGGTAATTTCGACCACCTGTGGTTCTTTAACGTGCACCCAAATCTGAGCACGCGGGCCTACAACATTTCCGCCTCCAACGGAAATGCAGCCGCCGCAGCCGGGAATCGAACCCGTGACCTGCGGGTCAGCAGCCGAGTACCTTAGCCCCTAGACCACCGCGGCGGGGCGAGTTCGCGCTCGTCCTGTGTGTGCTTTATTTTTTTTTAGATTCTTTCTGTTTGAGGAACGTGCTGCAAGCTTAGAGTGGTTAGCAGTTTTTTTTATGTGACATTACAATTTGTTGCTTGAAAAATTATTACATCGAAATTGTGGGAGAAAATCCAAAATTAACGCTCAATTACCCTTTTGAAGACACGTTCCACTTCGTGTTACGCCAATTCCGGTGACAGGGAGATCGGCGATGTTTTTTCTGTTGTATTTCTCTTTCTTTTTCTCTCTCTTCTTTCCTCCTCCTCGGTCGCTATATAATTTTTATATCTTTTATTTTTTTCTCTTTGTCTCTGTATTTCCTGATTCTCTTTTGTTGCTATCACTTTCTCTCGCTATCACTTTCTTTTTCATTTTTTTCTTTGATTCTCACTTTGTCTCTCCTTCTTCGGACTTGAAGTTTGTTCCAGACGTGAAGTGTAAACAAAGAGAATTACTTTTGAAGGTATTCATGATGTTACTAATTATACACGTCATGAAGGACTACACAAAACCAGCGTGTGTCCTGTATAGTCCTTCCTGTCACGTCTTTACCTTTTTGCGCTCTTTTACAATAATGCAAAATCAAACAGCATAGTTTTCACGCTTGTAGGCGCAACTCACTTTCTTTTAATATTAGTTTTCGCTAGTACATCAAATGGTTTGATGAACATCCCCACAGGTTTTTTCCTCTAAATCACAATAAAGCGGCAGTAACTTCGTAATTGATTAATCATAGTGAATTGATGTGTCGCGTGGCGCATGAGGCCGTGTGGCGAGAAACCACGGAAAAGGCCCATCGAGCTAATATGATGTCATAAGTGCCAGTATTCGCACTTGAGACCACAGGTATGACAAGAGAAAAAAAGTACTTACAGTCGAGAAGTTATGTTGGAGCGCAGTTATTGTTGTCCTACGATACAGAGAAAGGAAATCTCTTCTTTTATCAGGTGGGTCTGTTAGCTGCAGGTCAAATGAATAGGTGCTTAAGGGCTAATATTGTGACAGAGCCCTATTACGTAGGCAATGCTTCTGATACCACAGACGCGTTGTCAGTGACAATCTGCAAAGAACTGCTAGAGCCGAAAGCCATTATCCGTACACGATTTGGAACGTTATTTCCATCGGTGCTTTATTTAACGTTCTCCTCTTTGAGTGTTAAGGGTATATAAAAATTATTAGGTGGTATTCACTTTGTTTCATTGATCCTATTCAGAACGCCTCTTTTAATTATGTATGCGGTGCTATTTCCGCAACAGGAATTAAGCACAGCATACATACTCAGTCAACTACTTTGTCTCATAAAGTGCTCCAGCTATCGCCATTTGTACATAACACTGGATCAGTACAGCTTTTAAATATAATAATAATATAATAATAATAATAATAATAATAATAATAATAATAATAATAATAATAATAAAATAATAATAATATAATAATAATAATAAAAAAAAAATATAATAATAATAATAATAATAATGTCCAGTATTTCATGTCGCGAAACATTGATATGAATATGAGAGACACCGTGGAGGAGGGCTCCGCGAAGACCCTGTTTTTAAGCACTAAAATTATCAACCTCACTTTGCGTAATGGGTCACTTCTAATATATATATAGGATACGCTTGATCTCCCTCAAAATTGAGCTTGCAAAGAAACAAGTGGTTGAAAATTCCCTCTTGTCTGACGGGACTTGAAAACTTCATTATATAAAAATCGTCGCTTCAATTCGGGTCGTGTGTTTTACTGTATATCTGTAAATCTTTTACTATAGACTCAAATCTGAATTACATCGTTTGTGTTTACCCGGTTTTGATGTTGCTCCTTTAGCATCTAGGCGTTTTATGAGCAGTATGGTGGTCGTCGTTTGTGAAGGCACAATCGATGTAATTATCTCACAAGAATATAGCTCATTTTGTGATATACAAAGAATCACAGCACAGTATGCACTTTGACTTCTGATGCCCTGTGTCTTGATGAGAGAGTACAAGAGGGAATGACTTTGATGAAATGGTGCACCATTCGTCAGTGCTAAACCAAAATCAAGCAAACGCTTGGTAACTTACGTTCGCGAGTTGTCCTTCGAAAGCAATCAGTTGGCTCGCAATTTTTGATTTTTCTGATTTACTGATGCTAAATGTCATGAATCCTAGGGCGGCTTCAATGAGGTGCTTGTAAGCTTTCATGACTTTTTTGTTCTCCGTCTTGTTTGGATGGATAAGCTGATTTCGCCCTACAACTGGAAAAGTCATCTGGTCAATCTGAAAGGAAAGAATAGTCAGGTTTAGTTAGTGTATTATTATCATTCTAAATTAGCACCTGCTGGCAGTGATCTCTATAAAAAGAATCAGAATCTGCGATCTGTTGCTGTCCATCTGATTTCCCAGTGCCCACACCCCGGTTTCGAAGGAGTAAGCCCATTATGAGTGGGGTGTATCGCTTTGGACAGAGTAACCAAGAAACCTAACATGCGCAAAACACACCCACAATTATTGCGACTAAGATGCGGCCAAACAAGACAAACTTGTTACTATTCGCTTCCGAAAAAAGCACAAACGAAACAAGCATCGCGCCTCTTGAAATTCGGAGTCCTCAAACAGTAATAATGCTTTGCATTGCTGAATGTAGGAACAGCGCAACCTAGAAGTAGTTACTTCACAACTGCGGAAGCGAAAAAACAAGGACAGAAAAGAGCGCTGACTTTCAACAAAGATTTAACATCGGAGTCGAGTACATATACAGGCGAAAAAGGGAGAAAAATTGGGCATGCGTAGGAAATTAGGCATGCTTCCGTAGTTACAGAGTAACTACTTCTAGGTTGCGCTGTTCCTACATTCAGTTATGTCATACCAACTTGCCCAAGTTTCCACGCTTCATAGCTTTGTAATGACTCAGTTTCTTTCCACTGGTGTCTAATCGGCAACGACAACAGCTGAACGATTAAGGAAGGTTCTTCTATCATGCTTCAGGCTTAAAGTTCGGATCACGGTGTTTGCGGACCAAAAGCAGAATTCGAATAATCAGCAGGGGAAGCATCAGGCATACACTTCTCAAGAATCAAAACGCGAGCCAAGCAGATGAAGTCAATTGTTCCGAGACGAAACACAGCGCAAGGACCTAAAGATTTTTCAAAGTGTGTTTTTCATTGCCCTGATTTTGCCAGTCAAGTTCTTTGAACGTGGTTCAGCAGTGCAGTCTTTTAAATTTACATTTTCTTACTTACCGGGCGCCATGGCTTTTACATGTTGTTTTACGTTTGTACAGACCAAGAGTAAGAGCACAGGCAAAGGGAAAAATTTGACAATATTTTACAAAAACACTTAACATAATTCGGTCAAATAGGAAGCAGGCGTCTTCCCCTATATAAACTAATGTATAAGGAACTTATAAACTATTGTATAAGGAAGTGTTCAAAAAACAACAAGAAGGCATTTAACGCCTCACGTTATTGCCTGGAAAACGCTCGCAATAACCATTAGGTGTGCACCTATATCCTTTAGTGTACACGTGTCAGTAACCATCAGTGTTCATCAATCCACCTTTCCAAGTCTTTGCGTGCCCTCTAGCGCACACTTCAAGAAACAAACCATGCAGCGTCGCGTCGGCTGCCTCTGCCACCACCGCTACTGCTGCTGCGTTGCACAAAGCTTGGCAGTGACACATGTGCTGATAGCGCCGTCCAAGCGTTGTGTTGTTTGCATAAAACATACTGGGAGTTTCACATACCCGGCGGCATCTTTCTGAGACAAACGGATTCATGAAAAGGCCAGTATCGATTAAAATGTTGCACGAAAAGAAGCTGAGTGTCTTCATGGTGGCAAGTGGTTCCTGGTGCTCTCGGTGGCGCACAAAAGGGCAGAAACTCTTCGATGGTGGGTGCGTGAGTAGCCTCATGTTTCGTGAGTTGACTGCCACGTCCCCGTTCAGACTTCCGAGTAGCGTATGCCTCCAGTAAATGAAATTTGGCTTCTACATTGTGCATACAGTCCTGCGAGAGACCAAAGGCGACGTAGTGGCACGCCACCACCTCCACCCTTTCAGGTGAATATAATTTTTGATTATTGTGGTATTCATACTAATCAAATGAACTACTGTGCCCCTCCTTTGGCAGTCTCGTGCCGTTGTCACACCAACGTTTCTCTAGTGGAGCGCGGAGCAGTGATTTTACTGAACGGCATGCTTTGAAGTATATGGCGTGCGTACCTCGCGCCTTGCTGGCCTGTTCGTTGACAGTGAGGGGACGCGCCCCTATACCATACATGCATTTCGTGATAATATAGCACACCAAAACAGCTGCCGCCTGTCAAACGCCGCACGCTGAGCCTGTGGAGAGCTATGCACTTTCCATTGTCATTTTGTTTTCTGAAATTGGGGTGACTAGCTGAGTTCGACGACGAAGCTGAGATATTCGCGAACATCGCACTATACGGTGACTGGAAAAGGGAACTCCTGTTAAATCTTCGCAAATTTTGTGAAGTGGTGCGCTTCATGTCAGCATTCACGCTTTTTATTTTTGGGAAAATGCCTATAGTGCTTTGACAACATAAATAAACCACTTAACGTCGGTGAATGACAGGTGACAAAACTGTACCCTATGGCAATCTTTATGATCTTGCGGACGATTCGCGGCGACTGTTTTCTGACAGTAAGGCATCAAAGTGAACGACCACGCAGTTATATTCCAGTCAAAGATAACCAAGGCTTAGTTAACCATACTTCGGTGTTTTCATTGCAAAACACATGCCGAAAGCATATGCAGAAAGCAAAAGCCGTTGCGCGCAAGCTTCATCTACTGAACTGCTGTTGGACGAGACAGACACAAAGCACAGACTTGTAGAGCGCTCTGCAGGAATCGGGGCATGTTCTTCACGTATAAGATTTAGTTACCACACACCCACTTAACAAACTCCGTTGCGCACTCTCATTAAGAATCTAAAGCTGCACAACCCGCCATCTTCATTTAGGTGTCTCACATTCCTTAAACTAGCTTGGCGCTGATGATTGCGTTTCGGAGATGGGGAGTGAAAAGACGGTGTTGCTGGGCAAGCCTCACAAAGTGCCTCATAAGAGGCGCTAGTTGCCGGCATCTAGCTAACAGATTCAGATATATAGATAAATATATTTGTTGTTACAGTGTATTCTCGCCAGAAATGCTGCCAGGAACAAAAGGGGGTCTGCGACGTTTCCACGCAGATATTTTCGCAGCATCACAGGCAGAGGGCGGCGCATGCGCTGTAGAGGCATGCAAAAGGTGGATTACGTTCACAGCTACTTTTTCAAACATATATAAAAACTTCAAACTTATTGCTATTGACAAGAACTTTCGTGGTATTTACAATGGGCCGTCTCTTTTGAGGGTCATGCGTGAAGAGGAGCAAACAATCACACAGCGTCTGATCTGCCACCTTATCGCATGCCGGAAAGTTCATTGGAAAATATAACATTGAAACAAATGGGGCTGTGATAGACACATGTGCATAAATACGATTGCTTTTTTTTTCATTCCATGGTACATATTTTAAGAATTTACGTCATGATATTCAAAAATAACTAAACATTCATTGAAAAGTGTATGGCAGGAGAGTCATGTGTCTTATGTAAAGCCATAAATAGCTGAGGTTTCTGTTGCATCGATTCAGCTATTTAGAACACGTCGGGTCAAGAGTGAAACATTACTCTACCTATAATATTAGACTACTTATTTGCTTAGTAGTAAAACTTGGCAAGGTGTTCTGTACTAACGTTTTTTATGCTGACCAGGAAGGTATATATTAGATGCGTCCTTCACTATGCAAACAAAAACGTCTTCTACTATGGCGTATGGGTTAGATGTGTTTCAAAATATTCTGTATCTTGTGCTAGCATGTTGTTAATGATTGCATAACTCGGTCTCCACTCTGCACCTTTATCTAAGTTGTAGTTGGATGAATCCACACCACCATTTCGCTAAGGGTCCAGATGCTTCCAACAAGTTTTGCTTTACATGTATGTCACCTAAATGTCATAGTTCAAAAATATGAAAGAAAAATTACCTGAATCACGAAATTCGTGAGGTTCTTGCTATCTCGGCCAATGTCGTAACGCAGGATTGGGCCGAATCCAGTCCTGAGTAGGAGATCGGAGCAGTTGGTCAGCCTCTTTATGTCGCTGATGCTCTCCTTTGTTATGGGCCAGTCACCGAGTGCAGAGGCGTTCATGATGTCATACACGACATCGACCCGGTCACAGGATTTAGTGACAGCTGTAAATAAATACCATTGTAGTCGCCACTATACAGTATAATGACAGTGCTTTTCCTGCTACTACGCAAGCGTTATCTTTTTTCGCATGAGTATGCGAACACTCGAAAATATTGATGTTGAGTGGATTAATGCCTTTTTATCCGTATTTTGAAACGAATAACTGCAGTTTTGATAAATACTGGGTTTTTTTTCAATTCGATTGCCAATGCATCCCGCTAAAGGTTGTAGCCTAGAATACCTGAACTGCTGTGGAATTAAAATATATGCTTTCTTGGTGGCCTTAGCTCTGTAGCATATAGCCCTGTGGTCTCTCATGTACACAACAGTTCATGATTTGATTGATTTGTGGAGTTTACCGTCCCAAAACCACCATATGATTATGAGAGACGCCGTAGTGGAGGGCTCCGGAAATTTCGACCACCTGGGGTTCTTTAACGTGCACCCAACAGTTCATCAGACCGCATTTTTTGTGCAGTCAGCTTTACCTGGAAAGCCACAATAGTGCACACTCTGAAAACTGCTTTATCCTCGGGAAGGACTCTCAAAACACACGACCCGCGCGTCGTTTTCGCCAGTGGGCCGGCATGATTGTCTTTTCCCCAAGTATATTTTTTTCATGAGTATGTTTATGAGCTGCATAGACGTCTCTTGTCTTTTTTTTTTAAATATCGTAGTCCCATCCAATATGGTCACCAGGTTTATAAAGTGCAGCGGGAATCAAATCAAGTCTAATTTTAGTTTCAACATGTTCAAAGTACATTGTTGTAATGAACAAAAAAAAAACTGTGATTCTGCGTACATTTGAGTCATTCTGAGAAAATCAGTATCAATATGTTTGTTCATACTTGACATCAAATTCTCTTTACGTATCAACCATACATGGAATATGAGACAGACCTTTTTTCGAATGGCGATAATAACTTGACTGATATTTTGTTCAAATTGCACAGCGCCCCGTCCCCCAACTCAATATTCTATACTGTTCGGGGAGAAAAACCTTTCGTAGGAGACCCATTATAGGACGAACAGTCTGCCTACTTATTATTGTTTCCAGTACTAAAATTTCAGATGCCAAACTTATGACTACTACGATGCAAACAACGTTTTTGAATATTCATAGGAAGTAGCCGTTTTATATTTGCAAAACAATCAGTAAAGCATTGACACAAGTTATGTTCGGTCGCGCAAGTGTGCATCACAGGTGAAGACGGTGGGAACTTAACTTGTCTTAACTTAGACAACCTTTTACCTGCCACTTTCTCACCCCTTGCCACACTATACTATACGTGGCTATAGGCTTGATATCTTACTTTCTATCTTTTCTTAACCTATCTCTTTCCCTATACATCTTCTACTTCAGATATTCTCTTCCTATTTTGGTCTGTAGGCGTTTTCAGCACTCTTTCTTTTCATTCTATCTCTTCTTGTCTACAACACATGGAAGCACCAACCTTAACACCTCTACTTTGAAACTCCTGTCGCGCATATGTGCGACAGATATAGGGTGAATCTGTCTACTCAGCCCACAGGTCCACTAAATCTTAAAAAGGGTTCTGTAGTACTGCTTCAAGTTGCCATGGGAGTATGGTATAAAATCTTAATGGCTCACGATGTGACTGCTGCTAACATTTTTAGAATCTGTGCGAGCGGAGTAACAAAGATTTGTCATGCGCTGTAATGGCTTTCTTTACGCTCGTCCCGATAAAAGCGCTGGAAACTAAGCAGGGAGGCATGTCATGGGGAACGGAGGTAGGTCGCAACCTTGAGCACCTTTGAAGACGATAATAAAGACGATTGTGTTTCTTCGTATACCTCAACGCAGAAATGTAGAGTCTGTATGTTTGTTTGCTGGTTTGTCTCTCACAAGAATCAGTCAACCAGTCAAAGTTTAAACACTTGTGAACTTGAACTTGTGGCTGTGTTCACGCCTAGGAACTTTGTTGATCGGAAAGCAAATATGGCGCATATGCAAAGTGCAACATCAATACGTAACTGTTAAGTGGTGTGTTCCTTTACTAGAAAGTATATAGACACCTAATAGTAAAGATCCTAGTATTTCTTACGCTACGCTAAAAATGCAACGCTATGCACGAAAGAGACTGCTGGCAGAAGACTTTCGAAGACATTTGCAGCGAGGCACGCAGCTACGCGGTAAATTGTTCGCTCTTTACTTGTTCTTTGTTTTTCAAACGCCTGGCTTTTCAGTGCAATCGCGCACGTACTCTTGGACAAGTCGCGGCTTCCTGTGGCGGCCCCAGAAACGATCGAGCGCGTCATGCTCGAATCAGCCAATGGCTGACGCTTCGCCTGTGACGCAGCTATTTTTGAGTATGTAGCATCATTTGTAGGGGGAAGAGGAAGCAATTTTTATCTGACTTCAAAAATTTATTTTCAATTTTAGGCCGCTTGCTACTCTATAGTACTTAGCTCACTGGCTTTCTCAGGAGCCACGACTACCTATTGGCGGTTTTTGTGACCCTGCTCAAAAAGTTTTGCAGGCGTCATGCGAGCCATTTCTTCAGCAGTGTCAGCAGCATGCAAGTGTGGAAACTAAACTTACCTTTGCAGGTGTGGTAGGCTATGGCAGCCTTGTGTGCGACGTTTTGACGTTGATGTTTGCGATAGGGTATACTTTCGAGTATGCCTGTAAGTAGGACAAAAATCATGGTCCACCATCTAACGCGAAGGCACTGCGTCTCTAACGTTTGAGCAATGACTGTTTTGGCAACTTGCAAAGTTCGAGAACGTTTAGCAATACAGAAGTATTCGCTATTGAGGCGTAAATCATCGGTCAGTGGTATAATACGCGTACATTTTATTAAATTTATCTTAAGACGGCTATGGAGTTATTTATGGTTTAACAAAAGCATAGTGAAGGATGGGGGAAAGTACGTGCTGCACCTTTGGCATTTGAAGCGCGTAGCCTTATGCTGTGCCGCTTCAAGACATTGTATACCATAGTGAGGACACCAGACAATTTCGGCACACTATAGTGTGGTAAACTTGTATATTCGTGAAATTTCGTCATTAGAGGCACATGCACCATTATATACTTCAATCGCATTGCCCCTGATTCATGTCATTGTTTGCGTAGAGTTAGACAATCTTCCATATTCTCTGATGTTCTTATAAGCTCCATAGAAAACAATGTCCTTCGTGATTGTCAGTGCTTTTGTTTAATTTCTCGATTACTAGTTTTCAAGTCTGGCTCCATCCCTAGAATGTTTAAAAACTCGCAACGTCGGTGCAGATTTTGAACTATTCGCTTCAGCGGCCGCAATGAGAATATTCACAAAGAGTTACATGAACATTACTGCAGATCAATGAAGGTATCCTCTTCACTACGTTCGTGGACATGACTTTTTGAGCACATTACACTCTAGCGAACCGCTGCATGGTAATACGCTTAAGTGAAACATGTGCCTAAGTTGCCCATAAAGAGTCCTTGCTCACACTCCAAAAGTGAGCAGTAGAAGACAATTTTAACAGCTTGCATGTAAAAAAAGTAAAATCAGCGCAGTGCGTTGATGTGTAAACCTGGCTTCATTGCAAATATTACTTTGTATTACGCACACTAGTGTGAGAAAAGTTATGCTATTGCTCTTCAAGGATAATAAAAAAAACATTCAAAGCACCAAATACCAGAGATTCCTTCAGTCAACAAAGTTTTTTCTGATTTTTCTGAGTGATGTCCCTGGCTGGAGAAACCACTCTCTACCCTTTTAAATTAAAATTTTCGTCATGATAGACTTTTATTTCACTTTCGCATATATATTTTAGATGAGGTCTCGGCCACTTCATTTCTTTCATTTGTCTGGTGTTTTCTTAGAGCAGCGTAAGCCATCATTTTTCAAACAACTTGCCCTGTGAGGCAGGATAACAACAGCAACTTCTAGGCACGCGTTGCTATGTCAATGTATCGTGCACCCGTGAAGTGTCACCACAGGCTCCCCGCCTATGCAAGATTGCCTCTTAGGAATTCTAGCTGCAGTGGTTCGATGCCACAAAAGTAGAAAAAATTGCAGAATATCCACGGAGGAAATGATGATGAGTGGGGTGAAGTGTCCACCCATCCGTCCGTCCGTGCGACCGTCTATGCGTTTATGCGTTCATCCAGCAATCTGTGCGCCCATCTGTCCATCTGTCTGTCCGCCCGTGTGTCCATCTGTCTATCTAGTGAACACTGTAAGTACCGCCATCTCACATCTTTTCATCATATGTTCATCATTAGAGCAACTTTATATGATCCCGACAGGACCAGAGTTGCGCATTGGTCCGCCATCTTGTCTGGCTAGCAACCAGCTATCCGGAAAAGTCGTCCTCTGCATTCGCAGGCGACACCTCTGCCGTGTTTTTTTTTTTTTTTGGCGTGTCACATATTTACGTACTTGACTACCGTCCTTCACGCACTGTCTGCAGTGCTTGAAGGCCACTTTTCTGCCCGATTGCCAAAAAGTGAAGAGTAAGAGCTGACTAAATAGAGTGGTAAAAAAAAGCGACGTTCTTGCTCAGCGTGTGGTGGAAAGTGCAAGGCGAACCTTATCAACTTATTTTGCCTAAGTGATATTCACATTTCACAAATTTTTGTAATTTTTGACCAGATTCAAGGCAATTGTTCAACCTGCTATAGATTATTCTAAAACCAATATTAACGAAATGTAAAAAATTTCTAGGAGAGCTGTTTGATTAAATAATAAGTTTCGGTCGTACTTCAATAACAAGTTTATTAGCAAGAGCCAACCTCCCAGCTTCAACACAGATAAACACTGTATTGAGATTAAAATTTTTGTTTCAGTTAGTTAAAGGTTACTTTAAGGTAGACTTATCACGCATATTTCATTTTTTTGACTGGATATGCCACAAGGCGGAGGCACGCGTTCACGTTGACTTCATTCACCACCTGTATTAACACATTCAAATATTCGTTTTTCCCTAGGACAATTACCGAATGGAATAATCTTGATAACTATGTTGTTTCGCAGTCATCCTTGAGTCTTTTTACTACGCAGCTTCAACAATAACTGTGTGTGCTCTATTACATGAGGTAGTGCTGTGTATTTCAGTCTCTGCACTGTTTATTCTGTGTTGGTGGTCATTTTGAATACAGTGCTTATTTAATTTTGTTGGATGCCCTTGTGCCTGTTTATTGCAGATTGTCGATTTGTTTTCGTCTTCTCAAAGCCTGTAAATAATTTGTCAAATTTTCGTTCTGTTGCCAATTTGTAAACTTAACAAATGTATACCCAATCTGCTAAAACGCTCTTTGAGGGTTGCAGTATTGATAATTAAAATAAAAATAAGGAGCGGGAACATTCAGCATTTACGTTACGCTGGTGAAATGCGACATTCGTTCACCTTGACCGTACATGAAATTATTCGATCAGTCTCGTTGAATATAACTCAATTAAGAGTCATGCCTTAGGTTTTTGAAGTGCGTAGGAGCATAACGGTGCACTCTTTGCACAACTCGCGTTGTGTAACGCACGGTTGGTATACTTCACTGTTCTAAAACGATGTATTACACATGTGAATGCAAATTCTTACTCAATATGTAGCCTACATAAAGTCAGTTTACAGCTGAGCTCCAAGATTTGGCGTAGCTTTGCGGAAGAGTACTGGACTGCCACGCGAAAGACTTGGCTTCTTTTTGATTCTCAATAGCGACACGTATGCTTTTTACGTAGGTTTCTCTATTTTTTTTTTTTAATTTCGTGCGATAGTCGTCATGGACACAGGTGGCGGCGAACGTCTATGGCGCTGTAATCGGCCCTTGTGATCTCACTTGAGCTTTCGCTGTAAAATTCAGCAAATTCAACAACCGCGCTGTTTTAGCTACGTACGTGGCGAATAAATATATTTTTTTCATGAAGATAGGTAATCAGCTCCGTTTGTACAGATATTATTGTGCAACCAAGAACATTGCAGTTCTCTTTAAGCTCGTACATCACAAACGAAGGAGCACTCTGGGCAGCTGGAAAAACATCTTTTACTAGTTTACCCAGTCATTGTAACATTCCGATGGCTGTCATACTAGAACCAGCAGACCTGGTGCGCACATAGAGCTGATGCGCAATCACCCGCACGCATCCATGAACCGCGTTCAGAAAAGTCATAAAGACCAGCCAGATTTGCTTTGAACTTGACTGGCGATGATTCGCGCCAATGCCGCGGCGGCGTCGGAACAAACAAAATTAGCCTGAACATCACCTTTTCCGCAATGCATGGTTGCTGGCGGCACCGGCGGCGATGGAAAACAGTTGCGCTTCTTTGGTCCCGTAGGAACCATATACAGTTACTCTATTCATTATATACAAGTACCGCCACCCAGCGGACATTTTAACAACTGAACGTGAGGTGGCTACTACGACGACGACAGGGGACGTATGACCCGCGACGTAAGGAGCTCCGCCCCTAAAATAAGGTCATCTCCCGCTAAAGAGAACCACGTGAAGCAGCGGGCGCTAACGCTTACACTGGCCGCGCACAACACGCAGGAGAAATCTCCCTGAGAAGCACAGACTGCTGGGCGAGTTGGTTTCGGGTAACTCGGTGAAGAGAAATCTCTCACCGGCACAACCTTAGAGGCTAAGATCTAGTGCCTATTATGCCGCGACATCTTGCCTGCATTCAAACAACGCGCCCATCACCGTGCTCACAGGGACATACATGCGCGCCGTCTAGTGTTGCGCAGGGACGATGATGATGACACGAGCACCCAGCGGGACCCGGCTGATGTGCGCCTTGCGCTCGGGACTTCTCTTGGGAAAGGAAGAAGAAGGCAGCGGAAGGACATATTTGGTGTTCGACTGACACGTAGTTCTACTACCATAGTCACTTCGAGTTGTGGGCATAGGTTCGCCCTTTTAATGAATACCTTTTATTAAACCCCGAGTCCTTCAACATCGCTACAATATATACAAGGTGGCCAGTGAACGGTTGTGCAGCACGAGCATTCGGTTTTTTTTTTTTTAAATCAGTGGAACCAGTAGTTTTGGCTGTTGTTTTGGGCGCCATCACTGATGCCAACTCTACAGGTATTCATCCCTCGGTGGTAGCTCAGACTAGTTCTTCATGGCTTACGGTGACCAAGCCCGAATTTACGTGAAAAGGGCCTCATCAAGTACGAGACCCACGGGACGTCTTTATGCTTTCTCATAGCAGATTACCAAGTATTCAAAAGCTCTCATCACATTTTCTGAACACAACTTGTCAGCAGATGCTGCTTCAGTCTGCGAGGCGAAGAGGGAGAGCACCGGAGAAGAGAGAGAGGGAGGGCTGCGTATGTGCAATGGCGGTGGAAACGCCGCGTCGAGGAACGCCTAGAGGTTAGGAAAAAAGGAGCGTAGGTTAGCATACGCCCCCTGTGGCAGTGCTGCGAGAGTGGAGAGCTAAGGAAAGAGGAGGGCACGCGCATGTGCAATGAGAGTTTGACGCTGCTGGGATGGATGTCTAGAGGGGATAGAGGAGGGAGCGAGCTGAAGCAGGTGGTAGGAGAAAATTGGAGAGAGTAGCGCGCGGCTGTTGAGAGAGCCAAGGAGGAGAGTTGCGCATTCGTAGTGTGAGTGCGGACACCGCCGACGCCGCGGGACATGGTACGAGCAAGAGATGCATCCCATCTAAAAAGAAAGGGGAGGCATATCAATGCTTACTTTTAAGTAATGTGCCAAGAAAGCTCACCTTTCAACGTTTTCAGCAACTTGTCGTTGATTGAATTGAAGCTTCCGTACGAGGATTTCGTCTTTGGTATCTTGGTCTTATTTAACCATCCCCCGCAGGCGAAAGAGTAAAAATCTTTGCATGGGTCGACTGAAGTGTCGAGAGAGTCTAAGATCATTTTTGCTGAAAAAAAATATCAGAGCCAACGCAGGAGTTATGATTGTGCGATTGCTCTTAGGCTCGAAATTTTTATGTGGTGTGCTGCCAGGACATTTGCTTGATGCGTAGCAGTAATATTTCTCACATGTCACCTTCAGTCAGAGCACTTTTATTTGGTTTCAACTATCAGGGATAAGGCCAGGGAGGGTAGCCATGATAGGGTACCTAAGCGTGGTCGAAACAAAACGCATGCTAAGTTCCGAAGCTGGGGCATGTTGGAAATATATGACAGTTGACTTACAACTCGAGAAATGACAGAGCAGTGTGTCCTTCTTGTCTTTAAGTCCTCGCGCTATAAGTATGCTGCCAAGAACGCTCGAGTTCCCTGTTTCCCAGCTCACCCCCTCCCTAACAGAAACAGCCTTGTCGGTGGAGGTCAGACGCTGGTCTCACTTTTTATGATTCTAGCGCAGAACCAAGAAATGTCGCAATGGGTAATTGCTTGCGTTGACGTTTACGCCATCGCTGTTCAAGCAATTTCACAGCGTGGATTGAAGTCACGGACACAAAAGGAACAACAAAATTAGGTCTGAAGGAGCCAGCCAGAGCAGATCTGTAGAGAACCACTGGCTTGCACTCGGATAATGCTATGATGAAGCCAGGAGGTCATACCACCTCCACTCTCTCTCAATCCCTCTGGACAGCCTTGATCTGATCACAAATAATTTGTTGTTCATGTTCTATTCCTTGAGTAACCTAAGTCTTTTTTCGAATGAGTCAAACGGTAAAGTAATAGTATTTTCTGTGATTTGTGCAAAAATGCATGTATCAGTAGTTATTCGCGTAGAATGCACTGCATCAAGAATTTTCAGAAAATAATATAGCAATTTTACCTCGTTTGCGGCAAACTTCAGTGCGACAGACATTATATCTTCCTGAAAAAAAAATCCATTTTCACAAATTTTGCAGTATACTAGTCTATCTCAGTAGGTATTTCTTTTCACTTTAAAAGACCCAGATATCAACAGCTAATTTTCTCTGCTAGACACGTTGACTTAACAAATTTCACATATCGAAATTTGAAAAGGCACGTGCTGTAGGCACGTGCAGTGGCAACCAATTTACGGCCACTTTATGGCAACGTTACACATGCCCATTATCATCAAGTAAGCTATTGGACACACAACATATTATCTCCGCAATATTTCTATCTTGGCAATGTCTGATCGTGGCTGTTCTGGACAGTGTCCAATTCCTCAATGTTCTCAGATTCCGCCATTGATCGATGCTGATTGGCCCAGTGGACCGCTACAACCTCTCTGACTGGCCTAAAAGGCCACCATTACAAAATTTGACAATATGGTGGAGTTAAACAGCGTCCAAAATAGCACCCCGTAGTAGCCCTTTCCGCCATTAAACGGCATTCATCATAATTATTACAAAGAACGCTGCTCAGGTAAACGACTGCCGAACAAAATCACTGTGAGACGTAGTTCTGCTTGGTCTGTAGGGATTGCAAAACTTACCGCGTGCGCTTTTCCAAACCTGACCAGGTTGATTAAAGTCTATACAAAGAGAACGAAAAAAAAATGACATAGTAAAACAACTTTATGTTTAAGAGTGGTGAGCAGAACAACTGTGAGACTAGCTGCGATTGTTGCGAAGACTTTGCAAAACTTACCGAAGCCGCTCTCCCAAGCCTGAGCAGGTTTATTGTAGCCTATACAAAAGAGAAAAAAAAACGCCAAGGTGTAACAACGTCAGCGTTTTTTAGCGCCAAAATCTTAACAAGACCCCCAAGTTATTTGGCCCTTTTGAGAAATGATATGTTGGAAAATACTGTTTTGTCTTTGTTCAATTTTGGCCTGTGGAATCTGGCCCATAACCACTCTGGGGACTGTCCGAAAAACTTGTTGTAGCGTGTGAATAATAACTATACAGTGATTGCCTACCTATTACTAAAAATTTACAAAGAAAAAAGATTTTTAAGAAATACAACGATGAGCTCTTAAAGCGAGAAAATTAGAGATTAAGAAAACTAGGATTGAAAACAAATGAGTGCTACCTCCATAAAAAAATTCTCAAAACTTTGAGCCGACCACACAACACAGTTTTCCGCACTCGGTGAAATTCAGAACGTATGTCTTATGTTTACCCGTGCGTACGCATTCCGCATAGGGATGGCAGACACCGCCGACTGTGCACACTGCGGAGATGAAGAAACAATTCGACATATCCTGTGTGACTGCCCGGAATACAACCTGGAAAGACAACGCCTTTCTAATACACTAAACAGGTTAGATGACCAGCTGCTGCCAGAAGAAAGTATACTGCGCCATCGTCATGACTCATCGTCACAGAAGAAAGTCGTACAAGCGCTTCTGGGCTTCTTGCGAACTACTGGCCTGTCGGAACGCCCCTGAGCGGACTGATTTTGTGCGTGCGTGTGTGTCGGTGTTTTTCTCTTATTATTTTTAACTCTCTCTTTCTCTTCCAACCCCCTACTCCACAACCCCACTGGTAGGGTAGCATACCGGATACTAGCATCTGGTTAACCTCCCTGCCTTCCTTTTTTCTCGTCTCTCTATCTCTCTCTCTCTGTATGTCTTATATTTATTCATTTTAGAATTACACAACAACTATTTTTCGAGCATATAATAAAGTAGGCATTATGTGGGAATACGTTTAGACGCATAAATTTACATACTGCATCAAATACGTTTCTGGGGCAATGTCTTATTGGGCTCACTTCCTTTTGGCCTTTTTGGGCGTTTCTCAAAATGGCTTCACTGCGATTGTTGCAATTTAGGTTTTTCGTGCATCCATAATCGTATCGCTTGCTCGAAGAACTAGCAAATCAATCTTCTCATTGGAACTAACAAAGTCTCTAATGCACAAAGTATATTTTTCTTATCTCCCCAAGCAACATTATTGCTAGATCATTAGTGAAACCGACAACGCTGGCGTAGGTCCCTGGTCGATTTTCAATAAAAATCACAATGACAGCAAATCGTTTTTATAGTCTGGATAATAGCATTTTGTGCCCCAAGGAGCAGTCTCTATGTGAAAGCAGAAATCGGTAACATTCCATAATGCTTAGCAGAGCAAGACCCAGAAATAAATTTCTTACGCACCTGCATTTGAAAACGCGCTTTGTTAGCCGCGCGTATTCGTGACTCGATGTGAAATTCCCTCTGCGTTACATAAAGGTTTTTTTAGTAAAGCCAGCTAGTACAAGCTGTGAACCTGTGAACGCGTTTTCGTTCATATTGCTACGTAGCTGACATATCAGTGGTCAGAAGACGACAACGAGGAAGTGGTCTGTCGGTTGTGCGTGCTGTCTTCCATCTTAGTCAACGCCATACGCATCAGTTTGAATATGGATTTCAACTAGACACGCCTCGTGTCATTTTCACGTAACATCTTTGTGGTGGAGGTGCGGGGTACTTCCCCGTCCTCATCACGAAGCTCCGCAACGGCCGCATCATCGTAGGTCCAACCATGTCACAGGTTGAACAACCATCTTCACCACCTGCCCCTACCGTGACTTCTACATACGTCGTTCTACCTCCTGCTCGTGATCCCTGTGTATTTTCTAGTCAGGATGGCGTTGGCGTCGACAAATGGATCAACCGGTACGAACGGGTCAGCGCAAGCTATAAGTGGGACCCGACTCTAATGCTTGCCAATGTGCTTTTTTACCTCGATGGCCCACCGCGAGTGTGGTTCGAGACGCACGAAGCGGAGATTACGAGCTGGGACTCCTTTAAAGAGAAGATCCGCGACCTTTTTGGCGACACCGTTGGGCGGCAGATCGCAGCGCGGAATCAACTGGCGGCTCGTGCACAGACGTCGACGGAGTCGTACGTCGCGTACATTCACGACGTCATCGCCCTATGCCGCCAGATTGACGAGCACATGAATGAGTCTGAGAAAGTGGCCCATGTGCTGAAAGGCATAGCAGACAACGCATTTAATCTTTTAGCTTACAACAACGTTGCCACCGTCGACGCCATCATTAAAGAGCGCCGGCGGTTCGAAGAAGCCAAAAGCCGCCGTATTACTCAGCGATTCACCCGGCCGCCCAACACGGCCGCAACCTCATCGTGTGAAGCCGCCCGCCAGTCCCCCACGTATGACAACGTCACACGCATTGTTCGTCGGGAAATCGAAGCCGCCTGTCCGGCTCCTCTTCAGCCACCCGTTTTCGCAACGCTCGCCTCTGACCAACAACAGCCGTCAGTGGCGTTAATACAAGCTGTGGTGAGGCAGGAGTTTGCGAACCTCGGCCTTCCATCAGCATGTCCTTTGACTCGCCCTGAAGTCCCGTCCTACTCCCGAGGACACGCTCGCCGTTCACCTACAACAATGCCCTTCCGTAACCCTTCGGAATGGCGTACACCCGACGACCGGCCTATTTGTTTTTCCTGCCACCAGCCTGGGCACGTTTCTCGCTATTGCCGCCGCCGTTGGTCAAAGCAACCACGTCAGACTTTCTCTACCTCGGCGCTCATGCATCCGACGACCCCTCGACGTTCAGTCGCCGCACCCTTCAATTTCTATTCGTCGTCATTTTACGAGCCTTCCACTGACGCCCCTTTGACCGGTCGCCGCTACCCTGACGCCCCTTCGTCCGGTCGCCGCAGCTCTCGCTCCCCGTCGCCGCTACGTCGCCAATCCCGCTCTCCGCCACCTCGGCGCTTTTCCTCGCCGAGCTTCTCTGGACGACCGCAGCAGGAAAACTAGAAATTGCAGCTTATAGAGGTGAAGCTGCAATACCAACGACGGCCGAAAATCCTCTACTGACGCTTCGCACGCACCATAGCCTGCTTGAAGTAGAAGTCGACCATGTTCCTGTGACCGCACTCATTGACACAGGTGCGCGCTTGTCTATTATGAGCGCTTCTCTACGCTGCCGCTTACAAAAGATTATGACGCCATCTACGACGCAGGCAATACGTGTTGCCGATGGTGGTACTGTACCAGTAATCGGAATGTGCACTGCTCGTGTCAGCATCGC